GCAGCTTGGTGAGAAGGTGACAACAGTTGGTGCGATTAATCAAAAATGGAAGAAACACAAAATAACTGTCAATCTCCCTCGGCCTGGGGCTCCATGCAAGATCTCACCTCGTGGAGTTGCAATGATCATGAGAACGGTGAGGAATCAGCCCAGAACTACATGGGAGGATCTTGTCAATGATCTCAAGGCAGCTGGGACCATAGTCACCAAGAAAACAATTGGTAACACACTACACCGTGAAGGACTGAAATCCTGCAGCGCCCGCAAGGTCCCCCTGCTCAAGAAAGCACATATACAGTGGGGAAAAAAAGTATTTAGTCAGCCACCAATTGTGCAAGTTCTCCCACTTAAAAAGATGAGAGAGGACTGTAATTTTCAGAAAATCACATTGTAGGATTTTTTATGAATTTATTTGCAAATTATGGTGGAAAATAATTATTTGGTCAATAACAAAAGTTTCTCAATACTTTGTTATATACCCTTTGTTGGCAATGACACAGGTCAAACGTTTTCTGTAAGTCTTCACAAGGTTTTCACACACTGTTGCTGGTATTTTGGCCCATTCCTCCATGCAGATCTCCTCTAGAACAGTGATGTTTTGGGGCTGTTGCTGGGCAACACATACTTTCAACTCCCTCCAAAGATTTTCTATGGGGTTGAGATCTGGAGACTGGCTAGGCCACTCCAGGACCTTGAAATGCTTCTTATGAAGCCACTCCTTCGTTGCCCGGGCGGTGTGTTTGGGATCATTGTCATGCTGAAAGACCCAGCCACGTTTCATCTTCAATGCCCTTGCTGATGGAAGGAGGTTTTCACTCAAAATCTCACGATACATGGCCCCATTCATTTTTTCCTTTACACGGATCAGTCGTCCTGGTCCCTTTGCAGAAAAACAGCCCCAAACATGATGTTTCCACCCCCATGCTTCACAGTAGGTATGGTGTTCTTTGGATGCAACTCAGCATTCTTTGTCCTCCAAACACGACGAGTTGAGTTTTTACCAAAAAGTTCTATTTTGGTTTCATCTGACCATATGACATTCTCCCAATCCTCTTCTGGATCATCCAAATGCACTCTAGCAAACTTCAGACGGGCCTGGACATGTACTGGCTTAAGCAGGGGGACACGTCTGGCACTGCAGGATTTGAGTCCCTGGCGGCGTAGTGTGTTACTGATGGTAGGCTTTGTTACTTTGGTCCCAGCTCTCTGCAGGTCATTCACTAGGTCCCCCCGTGTGGTTCTGGGATTTTTGCTCACCATTCTTGTGATCATTTTGACCCCACGGGGTGAGATCTTGCGTGGAGCCCCAGATCGAGGGAGATTATCAGTGGTCTTGTATGTCTTCCATTTCCTAATAATTGCTCCCACAGTTGATTTCTTCAAACCAAGCTGCTTACCTATTGCAGATTCAGTCTTCCCAGCCTGGTGCAGGTCTACAATTTTGTTTCTGGTGTCCTTTGACAGCTCTTTGGTCTTGGCCATAGTGGAGTTTGGAGTGTGACTGTTTGAGGTTGTGGACAGGTGTCTTTTATACTGATAACAAGTTCAAACAGGTGCCATTAATACAGGTAACGAGTGGAGGACAGAGGAGCCTCTTAAAGAAGAAGTTACAGGTCTGTGAGAGCCAGAAATCTTGCTTGTTTGTAGGTGACCAAATACTTATTTTCCACCATAATTAGCAAATAAATTCATTAAAAATCCTACAATGTGATTTTCTGGAATTTTTTTCTCAATTTGTCTGTCATAGTTGACGTGTACCTATGATGAAAATTACAGGCCTCTCTCATATTTTTAAGTGGGAGAACTTGCACAATTGGTGGCTGACTTAATACTTTTTTTCCCCACTGTACATGCCCGTCTGAAGTTTGCCAATTAACATCTGAATGATTCAGAGTAGAACTGGGTGAAAGTGTTGTAGTCAGATGAGACCAAAATGGAGCTCTTTGGCATCAACTCAACTCGCCGTGTTTGGAGGAGGAGGAATGCTGCCTATGACCCCAAGAACACCATCCCCACCGTCAAACATGGAGGTGGAAACATTATGCTTTGGGGGTGTTTTTCTGCTAAGGGCACAGGACAACTGGACGATGGACGGGGCCATGTACCGTCAAATCTTGGGTGAGAACCTCCTTCCCTCAGCCAGGGCATTGAAAATGGGTCGTGGATGGGTATTCCAGCATGACAATGACCCAAAACACACGGCCAAGGCAACAAAGGAGTGGCTCAAGAAGAAGAACATTAAGGTCCTGGAGTGGCCAAGCCAGTCTCCAGACCTTAATCGTATAGAAAATCTGTGGAGGGAGCTGAAGGTTCGAGTTGCCAAACGTCAGCCTCGAAACCTTAATGATTTGGAGAAGATCTGCAAAGAGGAGTGGGACAAAATCCCTCCTGAGATGTGTGCAAACCTGGTGGCCAACTACAAGAAACGTCTGACCTCTGTGATTGCCAACAAGGGTTTTGCCACCAAGGACTAAGTCATGTTTTGCAGAGGGGTCAAATACTTATTTCCCTCATTAAAATGCAAATACATTTATAACATTTTTGACATGCGTTTTTCTGGATTTATTTGTTGTTATTCTGTCTCTCACTGTTCAAATAAACCTACCATTAACATTATAGACTGATCATTTCTTTATCAGTGGACAAAAGTACAAAATCAGCAGGGGATCAAATACTTTTTTCCCTCACTGTACATGTACATATTACCTCAATTACCTCAACTAACCTGTACCCCCGCACATTGACTCAGTAATAGTAACCCCAGTATATAGCCTTGTTATTGTTATTTTATTGTTGCTCTTCTATTTTTTACTTTAGTTTATTTAGTAAATATTTTTCTTAACTCTTTTTTTTCTTAAAACTGCATTGTTGGTTAAAGGCTTGTAAGTAAGCATTTCACAGTAAGCTCTACACCTGTTGTATTAGGCACATGTGACAATACAATTTTATTTTATTTTATTTGACATGCAGAGATACAGAGAATGAAGTTGGGTTACTTCTAATTAACTTTGGGTTACTCATTAGCAGTGTTGGGGTCGTTACTCATAAAAAGTAATATATAACCTATTACTTGTTACTTCTTGCAACAATAACAAACGAATTTACTTATTACTCCCTGGGAAAAATAATTAGTTACAATACTCGTTATAATACTTTGGCGTTACACCCCAAAACGTTGCGCATCCTCACTCAATGTAAACTGTCATTGGTATTTTGCTAAGTATCTGTCTGAAAGAGGGGGATTCTAATGTGGATAAGGGCAGCATTTTCTTTACTACATACCCAGCTACAAGCTTGTTCAGCTCTCCCTGGTCCTGCTGAACGATTCAAATCAAGCCTTGGTTGTTTGGATGAGGTAGGCCTACAGTCATCTTCAGCAGGCATGGTCAGGTCTCGGGGGTCTTTTACAAGTTTTGTGTTTGCATGTTTGCAGGTGCTTCATGAGATTGGAAGTCATGTTTCTAGCAGTGGAGAGGTGTTTCTCGCCTGGGCACAGTTTACATTTTACAGTCATAGTCTTACCATTTTGTCCTACCAAATCAAAGTAATGGGAGTACTTCCACGCTGAGAAAGTCAATGTTTTAGATGCTTCTGACATTTGTCATCTCTCTCACTATAGCAGGTAGTTGTTTTGCCTGCATGTGTAAATAGGAACATGTTAAGAGGATGAAAACAATTAGAATCTGGGGAGTTTAAAAAATATATATTACAACAACAGAGAGGGAATAATAATCCTAAATATCTATTTGATCAGTAACTGTAATATTATTATACAAATTGGAACAGTAACTCTGTTATATTACTCGTAACCGTGAAAAATAATATTATCACTGTAAACCGTTACTTTATAACGCCTTAACCACAAGTCATCATCTTCAACATTGTGACCTTCCATTATAAAGCTTTGCTCTGCTGAGGATTGAAGCCTTTACATTCATATCATTTGTGTTCCTCCATTGTATTCACCTTTAATTATTTGTATTGTGGATTGTGTTTCTATGCACCAATGGAAAGTCTACAAACAATGAGCAAACCAGCCTTTACATTTACATTTTAGTCATTTAGCAGACACTCTTATCCAGAGAGACTTACAGTTAGTGAGTGCCTACATTTTTTTTTTTTTTTTCATACTGACCCCCGTGGGAATCGAACCCACAACCCTGCCATTGCAAACGCCATGCTCTACCAACTGAGCTACACGGGACCTTTGTATTGAATACATGGAATTGGATTGTGATGATACTGATGAATGAATCCTGCACCCAATAAATAAATAAAAAATCAGGAATCATATTTGATTTGATGTGTAGGAAATTGTTTAGTGAAATATGCATAAAAGGACAGTAATTGCCCATAATTCTGCACCTTCGGATAGTCCAATTTTGAACATCATGATTTAGTGACTGCAAAGAAAATGTATTGATCTACTGGGAGTTTTAAAAGACAGAGTAACTTTCTGTTTTGTCTGCTTGGTTGCGTTCATCTTTTTGCAAGCAGTCGTGTTCTTTTGATGAGTCTATTAGCAATTTTAAAGGTATAATTTAGTTTTTATGTTTCGAGAAGGCAACTACATTTTGAAAACGCACTTACTGTTTTGTAAAAAGCCACAGCACAGTGTCTTGTAAACTCTATTTTGAAAATGGACAACATTGTTCCAATAAAATGCTTGTACATGATTGAGAAAACGGTAGAATGTCCCACAAGATGGCTGCCACCTGCTTTCTGTACAGTATGCTCACAACAGGAGTCAACAAGAGCCAATGGTGCCTTCAATGTGAAATATGGTTTTGTTTGTATAGTGTCCCTATGGCCCGAGAATCAATCCGACTAGCGCACAGCAGTAAACTTCTTAAGCCAACTTCCTCAACGTTTGCGGAGATCACAATCGCTGAAATCAATCGCAGTGCACGGGTCGTTTGAATCGTTTCTGTGTATCCTATCTGCAAACTAAACTGAAAACTAAAAAAGATTGATGAGCAAAATGGTGGATAGTGGTTAACTCACAGACAGTGGATGATGGTACGTCCCTCTCCACACTCCCTCTGCCAGTTGTGGACCTGGGCCAACAGGCTTAGGAAAGCCTTCTTAGAGTCTGGGACGTCACGGTATGGAGACCAGCGCAGGAACTGGAAATGACGAACCACCAGCTGACCTTCCTGGAGCTGGGGGGGAGAGAGAGAGGGAGGGAGAAAGAAAGAAAGAGAGAGAGAGAGAGAGAGAGAAAGAGAGAGAGAGAGAGAGAGAGAGAGAGAGAGAGAGAAGAATTAGATATAGATAATAATAGAGAGAGAGAGATATAAGATATATAGAGTATATTTATATATATAGGACAATGCTAATATTGTGTTGTAGACATGTGTGGCATCCTAGATTGGACATTTCTACCCCAGAAGGACACTTGTAGCAATGGCAAAGACCTGCCACCATTTCCCTTGGGGCCAAGGCTCCTATTATTCCTGTCTCTGGTATAGTAGTCTAGTGGTCTTTTGTTTACAATAATAATAATAATTTGGTGGGTGCTTATATTTGTCCCAGGGATGTTCAAGGCTGACCGCGGTACTGCAGGCATTGTTTGCAGAAAACAGGATCCCCCATTATAGTGAATGGAAAAATATTTGTGGTCCATCTTCATGTAAATCTTCTTTTTTTTTTTATTCAATCATGGTACCAATAATTGCTTCTAATACACCAGATGTATGTCCTTGAACCGATTATTTTAAAATCACACACAGAAGAAGGTATAAGGATAATTTAGTTGCTAATGGCAAACTGCAGTAACCTGGTCGGCCTTCAACTTGAGTTACTCAATGAGAGGGGGCAGCACTGAGCTAGCCTGCAACATCCCTTCCAGGAGTAGGTCAAACTGCGCATGTTATTTACATTTACATTTACATTTACATTTACATTTTAGTCATTTAGCAGACGCTCTTATCCAGAGCGACTTACAGTTAGTATGACTCCATGAGACACCATTTTAACTGACTTAATTTGGCTTCAATGCGCTATTGAGTCTTCACATAGGAATGAATGGTGTCACGTGATCGATGGCGTTGTCCATTCATATATGCAGTCATTGAATTGTCCCAAGTATATTAAAACGCATTTGTGAATTCGAAATGTGTTTTTTGCATATCCCAACTCCCTCTGAGACAACCTCGGAGAGTGGGGTCACGGCCAGGGTCAGCCATTATCAACAACAACCCTGGAGCAATTCTGGTTAAGTGCCTTGCTCAAGGGCACATCAATAGATTTTTCACCTTGTCTGCTCTGGGATTCAAACTAGCGACCTTTCGGTTACTGGCCCAACACGCTAACAGAAAGGCTACCTGCTGCCCTTAGATTAAATGTTCTACTGTGAGATGAAATACCTTGCTGGGAAAGTGTATATCATCCTCCCTCCCTGTTCCTGTTGCTGGACAGCTCTGATTGGTAGGATCAGTGGGATCCTGTGAAGAGGCAGTGGGGATCGTTTCTGACAGCTGCCTCCCCCTCCTCCCCCCTCCATGGGGGAGACTGGGGATGACACTGAGGGGGACAGGTCTCTGACGGGGTGACAGAGGTCTGACAGGAGGGTGAGGCGGGGGGAGGAGGGGAGGCGCTAGGGGGAGGCAAGGAGAGAGACTAGGGACGCTATACCTGACAGGTGGTGAGAAGGGAGAGGTAGGGAGACAGAGGCAGGGAGGCTAGCTGACAGGGGGGTGAGGAGGCGGAGGTAGGGAGACAGAGGCAGGAGGCTAGCTGACAGGGGGGTGAGGAGTGGGAGGTAGGGAGACAGAGGCAGGAGGCTAGCTGACAGGGGGGTGAGGAGGGGGAGGTAGGGAGACAGAAGCAGGGAGGCTAGCTGACAGGGGGGTGAGGAGGGGGAGGTAGGGAGACAGAGGCAGGAGGCTAGCTGACAGGGGGGTGAGGAGGGGGAGGTAGGGAGACAGAGGCAGGAGGCTAGCTGACAGGGGGGTGAGGAGGGGGAGGTAGGGAGACAGAAGCAGGGAGGCTAGCTGACATGGGGGTGAGGAGGGGGAGGTAGGGAGACAGAGGCAGGGAGGCTAGCTGACAGGGGGGTGAGGAGGGGGAGGTAGTGAGACAGAGGCAGGGAGGCTAGCTGACAAGAGGAGTTGTTTTGCTAGAGGCTAATAGAGGAGCACCTGGGTGGTGAAAGGTGGATGAGGTCAGAGAGAGGTGTTGGGAAGTGCCTGTCTGATCAACGCTGGGAGACTAAGCTAGTCACAATCACGAAGACAACACACAGTCAACGGCTAGGAGAGAGGCACATAGCTATGGGATACAGCACACACACACACACACACACACACACACACACACACACACACACACACACACACACACACACATGCATGCATACACGTAGACCACAACGGACCATCTACAATGATTTAACAGGCATTGAAAAGGCTGACAATTTGATAATTTCATCATTACGCTGTAAAAAAAAACGTTTTAGGTCATTGACAATAATTGTAAAGTGTACGGTGACTAATGCATGCCTCATCTCCCATGTTCAGTAGACAGACTACGAAAAGATAAAAGGGGCCATTAGGCTCTCTACTAAATATGCATGAAAAGACAACAGAAAAATATGTTTTAAGAACTTGACAAAATTAAAGAGATATGACTAAACTGTCAGACTTGCTGTGTGATGGAACCAGCAGACTGAAATAATCTAAAAAACGTTACTTTATTATTTGACACTTATCAGAGCACAAAAAGGGACTTTTTATCATTGACCACGACCTACCCGCATGATGTTCTGAACCCGGAACAGACGAATGATGATGTCATCATCAGCCGTCATGGACAGGAGCTCCACTGTCATTGGTCCAAACTGCTGCAGCCCAGGCTCTGGCCAGTACTGTAGACACGGCTGAGAGGAGGACAGGACAGGACAGGACAGGACAGGACAGGACAGGACAGGACAGGACAGGACAGGACAGGACAGGACAGAGAGAGAGAGAGAGAGAGAGAGAGAGAGAGAGAGAGAGAGAGAGAGAGAGAGAGAGAGAGAGAGAGAGAGAGAAATAAGAAGATAACAAGTGATTAACGGACTATGGAGGCGGAGGAGTGAAATCAAATCATTATGTCACAGAGCAGGATGGCAGAAGTCAATAACAAGACGCCTGAGGATCGACAGGACAGACATTTAGCCAGATCCACAATTATCCAATTATCCAACACATAGTAGCAGTGTTAACTGCATGAGCAGAAAACACCATCATCACTGAGAACGCTGAGTACAATCAATCACATAGCACAACAGCCAACACCACGCCACATAGTTTTACAGCGTTTCATAGCATTTTAATAATTCATCACTCTAAATTATTAACATTAGCCCATTATAAATGAATGCAGTGTGGTCAGTGGGTAACCTCGGCAGTGCCTGGGAGAAATACACATGGAGTCAATTAGGGATTGGTGCACAGAGCACACAGAACTGGCCAAGGTCTTTAGTCAATACAGGTCGCAGCTGCTTCAAAGACTCTCGTCAGCCGAAGGGAGGAACGGAGGGATGGAGACACTGGGGAGTGAAGTGTTAAATTGCTAACAGTGTTAGCTGTGACAGTGAGGGGGACGGAGAGAGGATCAGTAAGGGAAGGAGGGATAGAGGGAGGGAGGGAGGGAGACGGGGGTGTAGTGTTAACATGCTAACAGTGTTAGTTGTGACAGGAAGGGAAGAGGGAGGTAGGGGGAGGCAGGAGGATCAGGGGAGGAAAAAGGTAGCGATAATGTCCAATCAAGTTGACAGAGAGGTATTAACGAGGTGACGGGGTGCAGAGGGAGAGATACATTTTCATACACAGAGAAAGATAGCACAGACGACAGGGGTACACTCTTAATCTACTGGTAGAGAGAGAAAGGGAGGGAGCGGGGGATGGGAAAGAGAGAAAAGAGTGAGAGAGAGGGGGGAAAAAGAGAGCAATTAGGACATGGCAGAGAAGGATAGTAGGACAGAGACGATACAGGAGGGGGAAGAAGAGACGAGAGAGAAGGAGAGAAGAGTAAGGAGAAAGAAAGAGAGTGACAGGAGAGAAAGGGTCAAGGAAGGAGAGGAAAAGAGTGGAGGAGAAAGAGCGAGAGGGAATGAGGGAAGGAGTGAGAGTAGACAAGAAAGAGACAAACAGTTCTAGATGAGAGCCATGGAGTAAACATTAGTCAGGCCAGCACCAGGATACAGTTACAGGTGAAAGATAAGAAGGCCACAGACAAAGCCACACATGAGCAAACACAAGGGCGAGAACAGAATAATAAGAAATCAAATCATTTTTACATATTTAGCAGACACTCTTATCCAGAGCGACTTACAGTTATTGATTACATATTTTTTTTATACTGGCCCCCCGTGGGAATCGAACCCACAACCCTGGCGTTGCAAACGCCATGCTCTATCAACTGAGCTACATCCCTGCCGGCCATTCCCTCCCCTACCCTAGACGACGCTGGGCCAATTGTGCGCCGCCCATGAGTCTCCCGGTCGCGGCCGGCTGCGACAGAGCCTGGATTCGAACCAGGATCTCTAGTGGCACAGTTAGCACTGCGATGCAGTGCCTTAGATCACTGCGCCACTCAGGAGTTGGGGAGGAAATAATGTAAATGTTATTTGTCACATGCTTCGTAAACAACAGGTGTAGACTAACAGTGAAAGGCTTAAGGACATGGTAATGCCCTGACAAGAAGGCAAAAAATGAATCAACTATTCATTAATCTACACAAAGGCTATAAGTCAGCTTGCTATGACATGGGATTGGTCAGACCACAGCTTTGACCAATCGAGTATAAGGATGAGATATTTGACCAGTACCTGATAGCCACAGGGCTCGCTCAGTCAGTCAGTCAGTCAGTCAGTCAGTCAGTCAACATCATCAATTCACTTCCCCCTTCCTTCCTCCATCCTCTGCCCCTCACCTCCCCTCTTCTCACCCAGGCAGAGTTGGACTGGTTGATCTGGTTGAGCATCACCACCGAGGTACATCCATAGTCATAGACCAGCCTCCAGAAGTCTGCTGTGGTTCCCGGTAACGGGTGCGGTGTGACCACGAAGGCGGCGGGCCGGTGGAAGCTGTCGGTGAGAGCGGCGTTGATGTAGTTGCTGCCCTCTGCAATGCCCTCGGTGGTGACCAGGAAGGCCAGGGCGCGGTCGGGAGGCAGGACGTCCATGCTACGGTTCTTCTCGCGGTTCCTAGGCAACAGGGACACGCTGCACTCCTCCATGTCCAGGTGAGGGGTCACAGAGTTCAACGTCTGGAAGAGGGGGCGGAGAGAGATAAAGAAGGAGAGAGGTTGAGATGGAGAGATAGAGAGAGAGAGATAGAGAGAGAGAGAGAGAGAGAGAGAGAGAGAGAGAGAGAGAGAGAGAGAGAGAGAGAGAGAGAGAGAGAGAGAGGAGAGAAAGAGAGAGAGAGAGAGAGAGAGAGAGAGAGAGAGAGAGAGAGAGAGAGAGAGAGAGAGAGAGAGAGAGAGAGAGAGAGAGAGAGAGAGAGCGAGAGAGAGAGAGCGAGAGAGAGAGAGCGAGAGAGAGAGAGCGAGAGAGAGAGAGAGAGAGAGAGCAAAAAGAGAAAAGAGAAAAGAGAAAGCGGACATTGAAAATGTACTCAGCTCAAACTGTCTAACTGTCAATATTTGACAACCGCAAATATTTCACTGTCTAATCATCATCCGGCTGAAACTTTAAAACGCATTAAGCATCAGTCAAAAAAACATGAAGGGGCTTAATGGATAAAAACACATTTCATCGCAAACCACATACATTATGTATAAGCACATTGAGGCTTTGGGAAATGAAATTGGAAGGGAAATTAAACAGATTATTTAACTTGCTGTGTATTGTGTTGAATTATAACTCCCTGTTGAATTTGACAGTATGAATGGTGCATTATAATTATGACTAACTTACATTGCATCAGGATTACATCTTGGAGATATATGTTTAAATTATTATCAGAAACGGTGTCCAAAATGACACCCTATTCACTATTTAGTGCACTACTTTTGGCCAGGCCCAGAGGACTCTGGTCAAAAGTAGTGCATATACAGGGAATAGGGTGCCATTTGGGATTCATCCTAAATGTCTGATTTCAGTGAAGATATTTCATTGGACTATAATAACCATCATGAATGTATTCAATAGCCCGGTCTGAAAGAGATAAGTAGCTGTAATTATGCATGGTGAAGGTCACTAATGATTTGTGTCAATAAAATGGAAGAGGAGGAAGATCCATCTAGTCAGATGAACTAAGATAATCTCATACAGAAATAGGAATTACTGTAATATACAGAAATATGACTTGTCTAATTTACAATCTCAGACTGCTGCAATAGACCATGCATACAGCTAAGGACATGGTACTGTACTGTGCCATGACTAGTGGTTTGGTGAAAGTTAGTGGATCTAAGTTTGCACCATTAATACTAGTACTTGTAAGAGATTCATATAATTATTCTGTGAAATGAGTTCCACTATTTCATTAAACATCAACCCCAACCATTTTCTTTACAAAACATATTGAGGACATCAATACGTCATGGGAAAGAAGTCAAATTCCAGTTGTTATCTAGTCAGATAGTTTCTGGCTGCTAAAACAATGTTTACAAAACATCCTACTAGTCTTACCTGGAACTCCTCTCGTAGCTGGGAGGTGTTGCTCTGTGAGTCAACCCTCAGCATCTCCTTATAGGTCAGAGCAAACTCAATAACTGGTATAGCTGTCTCTCCACACAGACAGGCCTCCAGGATGGCATCATGGATGAACACATACTGCTCCTGAAAGAGAGAGAGAGAGAGAGAGAGAGAGAGAGAGAGAGAGAGGAGAGAGAGAGAGAGAGAGAGAGAGAGAGAGAGAGAGAGAGAGAGAGAGAGGGGAAGGTAGCAAGAGAAGGAGGGAGGAGAGGGAGGTAGGGAGGTAGAAAGCGAGCGACAGACAAGACAATTAGATTGAGAAACGAACAAGAAACGTACCAATATCTTGTTTTGATAATAGGACTATAATTGCTAGTGGTTTGGGGGGAAGTGTAACATTGGGATTTCATTACCGTTGTTAATGTCGACTAATTGTTAGAAATATCAACATTCATCACATCACCATGCCCACACACAAATGTTGTTTTGCTATATGTGTACACGTCTGAGGAGAGGAGGAGGTTGTCGGGTGAGGTCGTTGGGTAAGCTTGGCTTTATACATAGTTTGGGCTTTGTCGAGAAAAGCTTAAACTATGTATTTAGATTGTAGTTAGGTATTGTAGGTAGTTATCGTGGGTTGTTGTATGTATTTATTGTAGGTTAGTATTGTCTTCGGCTGAGCCCGGTGAAGCACGAAGCTAGCTAGCTAACCCACTACCTGGACTAGCTGGCGGGTGGCTACTGGCAACTATTAGCAACGGTATAGTTGTTTCACGCCTGAGAGTGCCTGTAATTACGCCAGCTGGCTGCTTACAATAATTACATACAATAATGCCTACCATTCAGCTGTTTTCTAACCTCATTGTCTGAACCGTTAACGTTAGGTAGTAAGTGGCTACTGTGCTTGAAATTTAGCTAGCTTGTTGCTACCTGGATAGCTACTAGTAAACAATAGCTGGAACGACCTAGCGAACAGACGCGAACTGGCTGAGTCAATTCAGTGGCTAGCATTGCACTTGGCTAGCTAACAGTAGCTGCTAGGGGTAAGTCATAACCTACACTTGTGTTTTGTTTTTACATATTGGTAGCCAGAGTCGTTCAAGGAATTCGGGACATGGGTGACTAGTTAACGTTAGCTTGGCTCTCTCTGTGTGTTCGTGCCGTGAAAGGAGGGGTTTCTTATTTGTCTGAAAGCAATGGCTAGCTAGTATGCTAACTATTCTAGCTAACTAACTGGCTGAATAAGTTGACGACGGACTCGCTCAAGCTGTCGGGACTAACCCACAACGTTAGACACGGACACGAACGATCTGCTTGGCGTGTTGACACACTGGTGGTTTGTTGTGGCCGAGTATTGGTGCTAAACTGCGTTGTTGGAGTCCGGCATGCTAGCTGGCTGTGGCGTCTTATGACTAGGTGCCCTGGACGATTTTCACGGAAGAATACTGTACCAAGTTAGCTAGCTGAATAAACTAAGTTAGTCTATTCCTAGAAAACATTGAACCGCTGTAGTTTACAACAATTATAGTTTCTGAGGTGGAAGTTGGGAGAGTTATATTTGGGTGTTGTGGTGAGGGAGGCCCCGCTCTTTCCTTTCCCAGATGTTTGGTTCATTTCATTCCGATCTCCTTTGCATTATTGTAGCCATTTTCTGTAGCCTGTCAACTATGCCTCTGTCTATCCCTGTTCTCTCCTCTCCACACAGGCTATACAAACGCCTCACACCGCTGCCAACAAGGCAGAGTATATCTCAGCCTATGCTACCCTCCAGTCACTCGACTTCTTGGCGCTGACATGGATTACCACTGAAAACACTGCTACTCCTACTGCTCTCTCCTCGTCTGATCATTTGTTCTCGCATACCCCGAGAGCATCTGGTCAGCGGGGTGGTGGCACAGGAATCCTCATCTCTCCCAAGTGGACATTCTCTATTTTTCCCCTGACCCATCTGTCTATCTCCTTTTTTGAATTCCATGCTGTCACAGTCAATAGCCCATTTAAGCTTAACATCCTTGTCATTTATCGCCCTCCAGGTTCCCTTGGAGAGTTTATCAATGAGCTTGACGCCTTGATAAGTTCCTTTCCTGAGGATGGCTCACCCCTCACAGTTCTGGGGGACTTCAACCTCCCTACGTCTACCTTTGACTCATTTCTCTCTGCCTCCTTCTTTCCACTCCTCTCCTCTTTTGACCTCACCCTCTCACCGTCCCCCCCTACTCACAAGGCAGGCAATACGCTTGACCTCATCTTTACTAGATGCTGTTCTTCTACTAATCTCACTGCAACTCCCCTCCATGTCTCCGACCACTACTTTGTATCCTTTTCTCTCTCGCTCTCCTCCAACACTACTCACTCTGCCCCTACTCAGATGGTAATGCGCCGTCGCAAACTTCGCTCTCTCTCTCCCGCTACTCTCTCCTCTTCCATCCTATCATCTCTTCCTTCTGCTCAATCCTTCTCCCTCCAATCTCATGATTCTGCCTCCTCAACCCTCCTCTCCTCCCTTTCTGCATCCTTTGACTCTCTATGTCCACTATCCTCCCGGCCGGCTCGGTCCTCCCCTCCAGCTCCGTGGCTTGATGACTCATTGCGAGCTCACAGAACAGGGCTCCGGGCAGCCGAACGGAAATGGAGGAAAACTAGACTCCCTGCGGACCTGGCATCTTTTCACTCCCTCCTCTCTACATATTCTTCATCTGTTTCTGCTGCTAAGGCCACTTTCTACCACTCTAAATTCCAAGCATCTGCCTCTAACCCTAGGAAGCTCTTTGCCACCTTCTCCTCCCTGCTGAATCCCCCCCCCCCCCCCCCCCCTCCCTCTCTGTGGATGACTTCATCAACCATTTTGAAAAGAAGGTTGATGACATCCGATCCTCATTTGTTAAGTCAAATGACACTGCTGGTCCTGCTCACACTGCCCTACCCTATGCTTTGACTTCTTTCTCCCCTCTCTCTCCAGATAAAATCTTGCGACTTGTAACGGCCGGCCGCCCAACAACCTGCCCGCTTGACCCTATCCCCTCCTCTCTTCTCCAGACTATCTCCAGTGACCTTCTCCCTTCCTCACCTCGCTGATCAACTCATCCTTGACTGCTGGCTATGTCCCTTCCGTCTTCAAGAGAGCGAGAGTTGCACACCTTCTCAAAAAACCAACACTCGATCCCTCTGATGTCAACAACTACAGACCAGTATCCCTTCTTTATTTTCTCTCCAAAACTATTGAGCGTGCCGTCTTTAGCCAACTCTCTTGTTATCTCTCTCAGAATGACCTTCTTGATCCAAACCAGTCAGGTTTCAAGACTGATCTTTCAACTGAGACTGCTCTTCTCTGTGTCACGGAGGCTCTCCACACTGCTAAAGCTAACTCTCTCTCCTCTGCTCTTGTCCTTCTAGATCTGTCTGCTGCCTTTGATACTGTGAAACATCAGATCCTCCTCTCCAACCTCTCCGAGCTGGGCATCTCCGGCGCGGCTCACTCTTGGATTGCGTCCTACCTGACCGGTCGCTCCTACCAAGTGGCGTGGCGAGAAGCTGTCTCCGCACCACGTGCTCTCACCACTGGTGTCCCCCAGGGCTCAGTTCTAGGCCCTCTCCTATTCTCGCTATACACCAAGTCACTTGGCTCTGTCATATCCTCACATGGCCTCTCCTATCATTGCTACGCAGACGACACACAACTAATCTTCTCCTTTCCCCCTTCTGATAACCAGGTGGCGAATCGCATCTCTGCATGTCTGGCAGACATATCAGTATGGATGATGGATCACCACCTCAAGCTGAACCTTGGCAAGACGGAGCTGCTCTTCCTCCTGGGGAAGGACTGCCCGTTCCATGATCTCGCCATCACGGTTGACAACTCCGTTGTGTCCTCCTCCCAGAGTGCGAAGAGCCTTGGCGTGACCCTGGACAACACCCTGTCGTTCTCCGCTAACATCAAGGCGGTGACCCGATCCTGTAGGTTCATGCTCTACAACATTTGGAGAGTACGACCCTGCCTACACAGGAAGCGGCACAGGTCCTAATCCAGGCACTTGTCATCTCCCGTCTGGATTACTGCAACTCGCTGTTGGCTGGGCTCCCTGCCTGTGCCATTAAACCCCTACAACTCATCCAGAATGCCGCAGCCCGTCTGGTGTTCAACCTTCCCAAGTTCTCTCACATCACCCCGCTCCTCCGCACACTCCACTGGCTTCCAGTTGAAGCTCGCATCTGCTACAAGACCATGGTGCTTGCCTACGGAGCTGTGAGGGGAACGGCACCTCCGTACCTTCAGGCTCTGATCAGTCCCTACACCCAAACGAGGGCATTGCTTTCATCCACCTCTGACCTGCTGGCTCCCCTACCTCTGCGGAAGCACAGTTCCCGCTCAGCCCAGTCAAAACTGTTCGCTGCTCTGGCACCACAATGGTGGAACAAGCTCCCTCACGACGCCAGGACAGCGGAGTCACTCACCACCTTCCAGAGACATTTGAAACCCCACCTCTTTAAGGAATACCTGGGATAGGATAAAGTAATCCTTCTACCTCCCCCTTACCCCCCCCCCCAAAAAAAAAAAAAAAAAAAACATTGTAAAGTGGTTATCCCACTGGCTATAAGGTGAATGCACCAATTTGTAAGTCGCTCTGGATAAGAGCGTCTGCTAAATGACGTAAATGTAAATGTAAATGTAATGCTAACCGCTAATAGCAAGAAAGAATAGGATAGGAGAGGGTGTTAGAACATACAGTGGGGAAAAAAAGTATTTAGTCAGCCACCAATTGTGCAAGTTCTCCCACTTAAAAAGATGAGAGAGGCCTGTAATTTTCATCATAGGTACACGTCAACTATGACAGACAAAATGAGAAAAAAAAATCCAGAAAATCACATTGTAGGATTTTTAATGAATTTATTTGCAGATTATGGTGGAAAATAAGTATTTAGTCAATAACAAAAGTTTCTCAATACTTTGTTATATACCCTTTGTTGGCAATGACACAGGTCAAACGTTTTCTGTAAGTCTTCACAAGGTTTTCACACACTGTTGCTGGTATTTTGGCCCATTCCTCCATGCAGATCTCCTCTAGAGCAGTGATGTTTTGGGGCTGTCGCTGGGCAACACGGACTTTCAACTCCCTCCAAAGATTTTCTATGGGGTTGAGATCTGGAGACTGGCTAGGCCACTCCAGGACCTTGAAATGCTTCTTACGAAGCCACTCCTTCGTTGCCCGGGCGGTGTGTTTGGGATCATTGTCATGCTGAAAGACCCAACCACGTTTCATCTTCAATGCCCTTGCTGATAGAAGGAGGTTTTCACTCAAAATCTCACGATACATGGCCCCATTCATTCTTTCCTTTACACGGATCAGTCGTCCTGGTCCCTTTGCAGAAAAACAGCCCCAAAGCATGATGTTTCCACCCCCATGCTTCACAGTAGGTATGGTGTTCTTTGGATGCAACTCAGCATTCTTTGTCCTCCAAACACGACGAGTTGAGTTTTTACCAAAAAGTTATATTTTGGTTTCATCTGACCATTTGACATTCTCCCAATCCTCTTCTGGATCATCCAAATGCACTCTAGCAAACTTCAGACGGGCCTGGACATGTACTGACTTAAGCAGGGGGACACGTCTGACACTGCAGGATTTGAGTCCCTGGCGGCGTAGTGTGTTACTGATGGTAGGCTTTGTTACTTTGGTCCCAGCTCTCTGCAGGTCATTCACTAGGTCCCCCCGTGTGGTTCTGGGATTTTTGCTCACCGTTCTTGTGATCATTTTGACCCCACGGGGTGAGATCTTGCGTGGAGCCCCAGATCGAGGGAGATTATCAGTGGTCTTGTATGTCTTCCATTTCCTAATAATTGCTCCCACAGTTGATTTCTTCAAACCAAGCTGCTTACCTATTGCAGATTCAGTCTTCCCAGCCTGGTGCAGGTCTACAATTTCGTTTCTGGTGTCCTTTGACAGCTCTTTGGTCTTGGCCATAGTGGAGTTTGGAGTGTGACTGTTTGAGGTTGTGGACAGGTGTCTTTTATACTGATAACAAGTTCAAACAGGTGCCATTAATACAGGTAACGAGTGGAGGACAGAGGAGCCTCTTAAAGAAGAAGTTACAGGTCTGTGAGAGCCAGAAATCTTGCTTGTTTGTAGGTGACCAAATACTTAATTTCCACCATAATTTGCAAATAAATTCATAAAAAATCCTACAATGTGATTTTCTGGAATTTTTTTCTTCAATTTGTCTGTCATAGTTGACGTGTACCTTTGATGAAAATTACAGGCCTCTCTCATCTTTTTAAGTGGGAGAACTTGCACAATTGGTGGCTGACTAAATACTTTTTTCCCCCACTGTACATAAAAAGAGCCAAAAGCCCAAATGCCCAACCCATGCTATATACCCTACCTAAATATCAGTCTATTCAATGCAATTAGTTTGTACATTTGTTTTGACATCTTGGAGTACAAAGAATCTCAGTGACCTGAATTTAAAAGCCTTAATGAGGATACAGATTTTATTTGATCATCACATCAAAAATTGTTTTTCTTGATTGAGTCTAATTATAGCCGTATTAGACTGGTAAACAGGTTTCAAAGTGAGGTTTGAAGTCGACAACATCAGTAAGATTTGTAGACAAAAACATCAGTATAATTCCATACACATTCAGCAGGCATGGAAAGGGCGTCTAGCATACTGAATGTTAATCTCTCCTCAGGTTACATCATAATCTAGCTCTGTTGATCCCTGGTATTTCAATTAATTATTGATGAATTGCTGGTTTATATAATACCATTATATAGTATACCATATTTTATTTATTTATTTTATTTTACTAGGCAAGTCAGTTAAGAACAAATTCTTATTTACAATGACGGCCTACACTGGCCAAACCCGGACGACGCTGGGCCAATTGTGCGCCGCCCTATGGGACTCCCAATCACGGCCGGTTGTGATACAGCCTGGAATCGAAGGAGTCTGTAGTGACGCCTCAAGCACTGAGATGCAGTGCCTTAGACCGCTGCGCCACTCGGGAGCCCATATACAGCAGGGGAGGTCAACTCTCCTCCTCGGGAGCTATGTTTATGCAGGCTTTGGCTCCAACCCCTGTGCTAACATACCTGAAACTAATCAGATAATACGTGTGTTAGATTAGGGTTGGAGGGAAAGCCTGCAGGAGAGTAGCTCTCCAGGAGAAGGATTGGGCATCCCTGATATGCAGAATATATTCTTACCTCTGTCTGTATCATGTTGATGCGTCTGGAGCAGAGGGTCTTAACACAGTTGTAGATATCCACCACTCCCTCACACTCTGCCATATCCAGCATGACGTCCAGTACGATGTAACAGCCTGTTCTGCCTGCTCCCATACTAACACATAGAGGAGAGAGGTCAGGGGTTAAAGGTCAAAGGTTAGGGGGTTGGAGGTCATATCCAGCATGACGTCCAGTACGATGTAGCAGCCTGTTCTGCCCACTCCCATACTAACACATAGAGGAGAGAGGTTAGGGGTTAGAGGTCAGGGGTTAGGGGTTGGAGGTCATATCCAGTATGAAGTAAGATGGTCCGTTACCTGCAGTGGACGACCACGGGCCCAGCGTCGGGGGGTGTGGAGGCCTTGACCCGGCGAAGGAAGGCCAGCAGGCCTGTGGCGTGGTAGGGAACGCCATGCTCTGGCCAGGAGGTGAAGTGGAACTGACACACCTCATGTTTGGCTGGGTAGCCCCTCTGGAGGGGAGAATACAGAGGGTCTAATTAATATCATTAATACATCTTTATTTAAACATGAGGAATAACTCCAAGGAACAATGAATATTAAAATGATTTATTATTTGTTAGATATAAATGACTCTATAAAGGCTGTGTTCTCAATAAACTGCCTGGCTGAACAAATGGAGTAAACAAAACACTCTCAAATTGGATGTGATCCCAGGAACCAATACATTTTCAAATTATTTATTATTTGTTAGATAGAAGGACTTTGACTATTCACTCACCCGCTCCATAGCAAAGGTGCGGACGGTGTACTGGGCCAGTGTTTCCGTCTTCAGAAGTGTGATCTTGATGTCTCCATAGAGTTCACTGTCCTCAGGCCAGTACTTACAGCACTTCATCTGAACACACACAACACACAGAACATTTGGACTTTAATCAGGATCTACAGTTGGTTACAGCTTTAGCTGGCTTAACTCTAAACCAATGTTCAAGAGCAAAATCAATACAATACAGTAGCCCATGACAATCATCCTTCTATCCTTCCTGTTTCCAGTGAGAAAAGGTGGACGACTTCATGGTTGTAATCTGGTGGTCATTTCAACCAGTTTTGCCCACTGGGTTGTAGACTTATACTACATAGCTAGTTTATTCCACTGGCAGTTCTTCTATAGGCCTACATTTGAAGTCGGAAGTTAGGAAGTTAGGTTGGAGTCATTAAAACTCGTTTTTCAACCACTCCACAAATGTCTTGTTAACAAACTATAGAATTGGCAAGTCGGTTAGGACATCAACTTTGTGCATGACACAAGTAATTTTTCCAACAATTGTTTACAGACAGATTATTTCACTTATAATTCACTGTATCACAATTCCAGTGGGTCAGAAGTTTACATACACTAAATTGACTGTGCCTTTAAACAGCTTGGAAAATTCCAGAAAATGATGTCATGGCTTTAGAAGCTTCTGATAGGCTAATTGACATCATTTGAGTCAATTGGAGGTGTACCTGTGGATGTATTTCAAGGCCTACCTTCAAACGCAGTGCCTCTTTGCTTGACATCATGGGAAAATCAAAAGAAATCAGCCAAGACCTCCGAAAAAAAATTGTAGACCTCCACAAGTCTGGTTCATCCTTGGGAGCAATTTCCAAACGCCTGAAGGTACCACGTTCATCTGTACAAACAATAGTACGCAACACCATGGGACCACGCAGCCGTCATACCGCTCAGGAAGGAGACGCGTTCTGTCTCCAAGAGATGAATGTACTTTGGTGCGAAAAGTGCAAATCAATCCCAGAACAACAGCAAAGGACCTTGTGAAGATGCTGGAGGAAACAGGTAGAAAAGTATCTATATCCACAGTAAAACAAGTCCTATATCGACATAACCTGAAAGGCCGCTCAGCAAGGAAGAAGCCACTGCTCCAAAACCAGAAGCTTTAGAAGATTCTGATAGGCTAATTGACATCATTTGAGTCAATTGGAGGTGTACCTGTGGATGTATCTCAAGGCCTACCTTCAAACTCAGTGCCTCTTTGCTTGACATCATGGGAAAATCAAAACAAATCAGCCAAGACCTCAGAAATAAAATGGTAGACCTCCACAAGTCTGGTTCATCCTTGGGAGGAAGAAGCCACTGCTCCAAAACCGCCATAAAAAAGCCAGACTACGGTTTGCAACTGCACATGGGGACAAAGATCGTACTTTTTGGAGAAATGTCCTCTGGTCTGATGAAACAAAAATAGAACTGTTTGGCCATAATGACCATTGTTATGTTTGGAAGAAAAAGGGGTTGGCTTGCAAGCCGAAGAACACCATGCCAACCGTGAAGCACGGGGTGGCAGCATCATGCTGTGGGGGTGCTTTGCTGCAAGAGGGACTGGTACACTTCACAAAATAGATGGCATCATGAGGAAGGAAAATCATGTGGATATATTGAAGCAACATCTCAAGACATCAGTCAAGAAGTTAAAGCTTGGTCGCAAATGGGTCTTCCAAATGGACAATGACCCCAAGCATACTTCCAAAGTTGTGGCAAAATGGCTTAAGGACAACAAAGTCAAGGTATTTGAGTGGCCATCACAAAGCCCTGACCTCAATCCTATAGAACATTTGTGGGCAGAACTGAAAAAGCGTGTGCGAGCAAGGAGGCCTACAAACCTGACCCAGTTACACCAGCTCTGTCAGGAGGAATGGGCCAAAATTCACCCAACTTATTGTGGGAAGCTTGTGGAAGGCTACCCGAAACGTTTGACCCACGTTAAACAATTTAAATGCAATGCTACCAAATACTAATTGAGCGTATGTAAACATCTGACCCACTGGTAATGTGATGAAAGAAATAAAAGCTCAAATAAATCATTCTCTCTACTATTATTCTGACATTTCACATTCTTAAAATAAAGTGGTGATCCTAACTGACCAAACACAGGGAATTTCTACTAGGATTAAATGTCAGGAATTGTGAAAAACTGAGTTGAAATGTATTTGGCTAAGGTGTATGTAAACTTCCGACTTCAACTGTATGTAAAGAGTGGGCTTGCAAAGGAACCGAAAGGAAGCGTAACCTACCCTGCCCACCTCCACCAGTTTAGTGATCATGACGATACTGAAGCAATTCTCCTGCCACACCATCCTCCAGAAGTCATAGATCATCTCCTGCTTGGGGCCTGAGGGGGAAGAGAGGAGGACGAGGAGAGGAGAAGGTGGAGGAGGAGGGAAGAAGGAGGGAGAGTAGGAGGAGGACGAGGAGAGGACAATAAGAGGAGAAGGGGGAGGAGGTGGAGGAGGATGACAGGAGGAGGAGGTGGAGGGGGCAGGAGGATGAGGACAGGATAAGGAGAGAAGAGGGAGGAGGTGGAGGAGGAGGGAAGACAGGAGGAGGAAAGGGAGGGGGGAGGTGAAGGAGGAGCATAAAAGGCAGGGATAGAGGGAGTAGAAATAGGATCATAAGTCAGTATAAATAGCAGCAATAACCATCAGGGTCGGGTCTGTAGAATACATGCCAGAGACAAGAGTAACAGTGTCATTTTATGAACCATGGCTCTCCACTCCTCTCTTTCCCCTCTCTGCTCTCCTAGCGTCTGCTGGAAGAATGTAATTTCAATACACCCACAAATCCACAGCTGTTGTGCAAACAACAAACGTCATCAACGTCGAATTTCTCCGGTGAGGCGCGACTCATTCACACAAATCTCCGAAATCTCATTCCCTCGGGACGTGATAGCAGTTTCATTGATTTCATTATACTGTGAGCTTGATGATATCACACGTCTCTATGTCATACCTCTGGTAGAATAATGTGAGGGTGAAAAAATACCATGGCTTTTAATGATAAACATATCCATTCATATCTCATACCTCTGGTGGGTTACGTATTATTTGGAGATTGTGTTGAGAGCAAATGTTAGTGTGTATCATGGCTTTTGATCATGAAAATGCTAATTCATTCCAACCTTTGCTTTCTCTGCACTAGGGCTGGGCGATTTCGCCAACATGTAATATCACGGTATTAAAAAACATATATTATGGTATGAAGGTATTTGACGGTATTTTATGTTTTTGAATAATACCAGTTCAAAATTTGCTTTATGAGTAGTACGTGACCCTAGGGTGGTGTCACGCCCTGACTCTGAGGACTCTTATTTGTTGAGTCAGGGTGTGATTTTCCTTGTTGTGTATGTTCCTATGTGTTATTTTCTAGGGTTGGATCTAGTATGTATAGATCTATGTTGGCCTGTGTGGTTCCCAATCAGAGGCAGCTGTTGCTCGTTGTCTCTGATTGGGGACCATACTTAGGCAGCCATTTGGCACTAGTTAGTTGTGGGATCTTGTTCCGTGTGAGGTATGTTGTTTGTCTACCTTGGACGTTTCGTTTCATTTGTTGTTTTGTCGGTTGTTTATTCATATAAATAAACATGTATGCATATCACGCTGCGCCTTGGTCCGTCCCGTCTATAAACGAACGTGACAGGTGGCAACACATACATTCTAAGTGATTTCAATGGGTCTTTCTCCATTCTGATTGTTTTATACTGTTCAATTCAACTTCAACCCAAAATATATTTCAGCATTTTCATCAATTTCTGCACTCATCTGAGATCATTTCCACACTGCCACGTAGGTCTGCATGATATGGGCATCAGCATACTCCTGAGTGGCGCAGTGGTCTAAGGCACTGCATCGCAGTGTTAATTGCGCCACTAGAGATCCTGGTTCGAATCCAGGCTCTGTCGCAGCCGACCGGGAGACTCATGGGCGGCGCACAATTGGCCCAGCGTCGTCCAGGGTAGGGGAGGGAATGGCCGGCAGGGATGTAGCTCAGTTGATAGAGCATGGCGTTTGCAACGCCAGGGTTGTGGGTTTGATTCCCACGGGGGGCCAGTATAAAAAAAAAAAGATGTATTCACTAAACTGTAAGTCGCTCTGGATAAGAGCGTCTGCTAAATGACTAAAATGTAAATGTAAATATGGGCAAACAATCTAGGCCTTATTTTTAACCAAATGTTGCAATTGCAATTTGACTTGCGATTTAGATCAAAACACTTGGATGAACTGTTGGAATCATGGAAATCAACTTATTATTCTAATTCTATAGTTAGAATATGTTAGTGGGCACTTTGAATACAGTGTTGTTTGACATGACAATTAATGAAAATGCCAGGGAGGAGTTATTGTGACACTGTAGGAACCAAAGTGTTGATAAGTGTTTCCTAGGGGACCCTATAATCTTTGGCTACATTTAATGTTTTCTCTTAGCTACTTCATATAGATAACATACTCATGCTTTGCGTATTCCTCTTTGATTTAGAAGATACTGTTGCACAAACAACATGCTGATTTAGGTCTACACCATCACTGATATTATCAGGCTGTATAGCTAGTTACGTTTGCTCTGACTCAGTACATTTATTAGCAAGCAGAGAGAGATGACTCAAGTAGCGGAGTAAACTATAAAAATGGACGTTACACACGGCATATCACATTTAACAAACCAAACATTCAAATACCGTTATCGAAGGTAAAGTAAAAACCCAACCTGGTCCGTGCATCATACTGGTATATCGTAAAATACGGTATACCGCCCAGCCCTACTCTGCAACCACAGTGTGCATTCATTCAATCTGTTTCCAGAGGCTGCTGTAGTTAGCATAGAAACCCAAGGGGGGTTGTTGTTTCTGCAGTTTACTTCACAGTTTGTCTTAACAACATGAAGCTGATAAAACAGTGTGATAGCTGCTGCTGTAGCCCCAGGGCAGACCCTGCTTTCTACAAGGCTCTGTTGTGAAGGCTGTTGGGTACAACAGGGAGAAGAGAGGAGAGGAAAACCTTGGCCATCTTTGAGAACAGGGGTGCTAAAGGCACAGACTAACTGTCAGGGATGAGTATTGTTCTCCCTGCCACTAGCAGTGGTTGAGTGCAGTGTTTCTGTGCTGTGTTCCTACCTCAACAGTGCCTACACACACCTATACATATATACACACAGTGTTAGTTCAACCTTCAACCTCATCTGGCCTACTTGCTTTTTTACCATGAATTCTAAAACGTATTCAGTCTGCCTCAGTTACAGAACAGAGCTACATTTTTGTATGCCAGTGGCTATGTAATATGTATGCATAAGTGTGTGTATACTGTATAAGTGTTTGTGTGAGAGCGAGAGAGAGAGTTAGGGAAAGAGGGAGAGATAGAAAGAGAGTGCATGAGAGAGAGATGGAGAGAGAGATAGAGAGAGATAGAGAGAGTAGAGAGAGAGAGAGGGTGAGAGAAAGAGAGAGAGAGGGTGAGAGAAAGAGAGAGATAGGTTTTAGAAGAGCAAGTAAGCTGAAAATGTTATTGTGTGGAGGGGCGGGAATTGGGACCAAAAAGAAAGAGGGAAAGACATATACTAAACTAATAAGATCAGAGCTAAGAAATAATAAATAATATATATCTGTGTCAGTGTGTGTGTATGATTATGTGTGTGTATGACTATGTGTGTGTAGGAGTATGTGTATGAGGGTGTGTTTGGGGAATGTCACACCCTGGCTCTGGGACTCTATATGTTGAGCCAGGGTGTGTTCATTCTATGTGTTTATTTCTATGTTGGTAATTCTGGTGTGTTTATTTCTATGTTGGCTAGAGTGACTCCCAATCAGAGGCAACGAGTGTCAGCTGTCGTTGGTTGTCTCTGATTGGTGTCACACCCTGGCTATGGGACTCTAGTTGTTGAGCCAGGGTGTGTTTGTTCTATGTGGTGTGTTTCTATGTTGGGGGTTCTAGTTCGTCTATTTCTATGTTTTGCCTGAGTGACTCCCAATCAGAGGCAACGAGTGTCAGCTGTTGGCTGGTTGTCTCTGATTGGGAGCCATATTTAAACTGTCTGTTTTCCCTTTGTGTTTGTGGGTTTTTGTTCCGTGTCGGTCTTTGTTACCGTTGGACGTTACGAGTCGTTTATTGTTTTGTTCGTGCTTTAATTAAATAAAGTCTAAACATGTTCGTTCAACACGCTGCGCATTGGTCTACTTCTCTCCCTGACGATCGTGACAATTGGGAGCCATATTTATACTGTCTATTTTCCCTTTGTGTTTGTGGGTTCTTGTTCCGTGTTCGGTCATTGTTACCGTGGACTTCACGAGTCGTTTCTTGTTTTGTTGATTGTGTTCTATTATCACTAAAGATAATAAAGTTAAACATGTTCGTTCATCACGCTGCGCCTTGGTCTGTTCAATACGACGATCGTGAAAGAAGAACCCACCAGAAGAACCCACCATGCAACGACCAAGCAGCGTGTCCAGGGGCAGCTCTTGGGCTGGACATGGGAGGAAGCGCCGGGAGAAGAGACGGTGGAGGCGCGCCGTAGAGAGGAGCAGCGGCGCCAAACGGGTCAACGTCGGACAGGCGAGAGGCAACCCCAGAACATTTTTAGGGGGGGGCACACGGCATGGACGACGGGGCTGACGGAGGCAAAAAAGGGGCGGATTCAGAGGCCACCAGGTTACGGATACACCGCCCTGTACGTCCTGTGCGGATGCCTCACACAGAGTGTGTGAGGGTAGGCATTCAGCCAGGACGGGTTGTGGCCACTCTTCACTCCAGGTCTCCTATCCGTCTCCACAGCCCGGTTCGGCCTGTTCCTGCTCCACGCACCAAGCCTACGGTGTGCGTCGCCAGCCCAGTCCGGCCAGTCCCTGCTCCACGCACCAAGCCTACGGTGTGCGTCGCCAGCCCGGTCCGGCCTGTCCCTGCTCCACGCACCAAGCCTACGGTGTGCGTCGCCAGCCCGGCCCGGCCTGTTCCTGCCACTCGCACCAAGTCTACGGTGCGCGTCGCCAGCCCGGCCCGGCCTGTTCCTGCCACTCGCACCAAGTCTACGGTGCGCGTCGCCAGCCCGGCCCGGCCTGTTCCTGCCACTCGCACCAAGTCTACGGTGCGCGTCGCCAGCCCGGCCCGGCCTGTTCCTGCCACTCGCACCAAGTCTACGGTGCGCGTCGCCAGCCCGGCCCGGCCTGTTCCTGCCACTCGCACCAAGTCTACGGTGCGCGTCGCCAGCCCGGCCCGGCCTGTTCCTGCCACTCGCACCAAGTCTACGGTGCGCGTCGCCAGCCCGGCCCGGCCTGTTCCTGCTACTCGCACTAAGCCAGGGGTGCGAGACGTCAGCCTGGTAAGGCCTGTTCCTGCTACTCGCACTAAGCCAGGGGTGCGAGACGTCAGCCTGGTAAGGCCTGTTCCTGCTACTCGCACTAAGCCAGGGGTGCGAGACGTCAGCCTGGTAAGGCCCGTCCCTCCTCCACGCACCAAGCCAGGGGTGCGAGTCGTCAGCCTGGTAAGGCCCGTTCCTCCTCCACGCACTAAGCCAGGGGTGCGAGTCGTCAGCCTGGTAAGGCCCGTTCCTCCTCCACGCACTAAGGCAGGGGTGCGAGTCGTCAGCCTGGTAAGGCCCGTTCCTCCTCCACGCACCAAGCCAGGGGTGCGCGTCGTCAGCCTGGTAAGGCCCGTGCCTGTTCCACCGGTGGCGGGTCCGGCACCGGTCAGGTGCTGCGTCACGCCGGAGCTAGAGCAATCCGCTCCACCAGCGTTCAGTGCAGCTCTGGTCAGCAGGGCCAGACCGGACCAGGGGTACTTTGGGGGGTTAGAGAAGGAGTGGGGGTCAAGGCCGGAGCCAGAACCGCCACCGAGGAGGTATGCCCGCCCAGCCCTCCCCTGTTTTGTTTTAGTTGAGGCGCGGTCGCAGTCCGCGCCTTTAGGGGGGGGTACTGTCACACCCTGGCTATGGGACTCTAGTTGTTGAGCCAGGGTGTGTTTGTTCTATGTGGTGTGTTTCTATGTTGGGGGTTCTAGTTCGTCTATTTCTATGTTTTGCCTGAGTGACTCCCAATCAGAGGCAACGAGTGTCAGCTGTTGGCTGGTTGTCTCTGATTGGGAGCCATATTTAAACTGTCTGTTTTCCCTTTGTGTTTGTGGGTTTTTGTTCCGTGTCGGTCTTTGTTACCGTTGGACGTTACGAGTCGTTTATTGTTTTGTTCGTGCTTTAATTAAATAAAGTCTAAACATGTTCGTTCAACACGCTGCGCATTGGTCTACTTCTCTCCCTGACGATCGTGACAATTGGGAGCCATATTTATACTGTCTATTTTCCCTTTGTGTTTGTGGGTTCTTGTTCCGTGTTCGGTCATTGTTACCGTGGACTTCACGAGTCGTTTCTTGTTTTGTTGATTGTGTTCTATTATCACTAAAGATAATAAAGTTAAACATGTATTTCATCACGCTGCGCCTTGGTCTGTTCAATACGACGATCGTGAAAGAAGAACCCACCAGAAGAACCCACCATGCAACGACCAAGCAGCGTGTCCAGGGGCAGCTCTTGGGCTGGACATGGGAGGAAGCGCCGGGAGAAGAGACGGTGGAGGCGCGCCGTAGAGAGGAGCAGCGGCGCCAAACGGGTCAACGTCGGACAGGCGAGAGGCAACCCCAGAACATTTTTAGGGGGGGCACACGGCATGGACGACGGGGCTGACGGAGGCAAAAAAGGGGCGGATTCAGAAGGCCACCAGGTTACGGATACACCGCCCTGTACGTCCTGTGCGGATGCCTCACACAGAGTGTGTGAGGGTAGGCATTCAGCCAGGACGGGTTGTGGCCGCTCTTCACTCCAGGTCTCCTATCCGTCTCCACAGCCCGGTTCGGCCTGTTCCTGCTCCACGCACCAAGCCTACGGTGTGCGTCGCCAGCCCAGTCCGGCCAGTCCCTGTTCCACGCACCAAGCCTACGGTGTGCGTCGCCAGCCCGGTCCGGCCTGTCCCTGCTCCACGCACCAAGCCTACGGTGTGCGTCGCCAGCCCGGCCCGGCCTGTTCCTGCCACTCGCACCAAGTCTACGGTGCGCGTCGCCAGCCCGGCCCGGCCTGTTCCTGCCACTCGCACCAAGTCTACGGTGCGCGTCGCCAGCCCGGCCCGGCCTGTTCCTGCCACTCGCACCAAGTCTACGGTGCGCGTCGCCAGCCCGGCCCGGCCTGTTCCTGCCACTCGCACCAAGTCTACGGTGCGCGTCGCCAGCCCGGCCCGGCCTGTTCCTGCCACTCGCACCAAGTCTACGGTGCGCATCGCCAGCCCGGCCCGGCCTGTTCCTGCTACTCGCACTAAGCCAGGGGTGCGAGACGTCAGCCTGGTAAGGCCTGTTCCTGCTACTCGCACTAAGCCAGGGGTGCGAGACGTCAGCCTGGTAAGGCCTGTTCCTGCTACTCGCACTAAGCCAGGGGTGCGAGACGTCAGCCTGGTAAGGCCCGTCCCTCCTCCACGCACCAAGCCAGGGGTGCGAGTCGTCAGCCTGGTAAGGCCCGTTCCTCCTCCACGCACTAAGCCAGGGGTGCGAGTCGTCAGCCTGGTAAGGCCCGTTCCTCCTCCACGCACTAAGGCAGGGGTGCGAGTCGTCAGCCTGGTAAGGCCCGTTCCTCCTCCACGCACCAAGCCAGGGGTGCGCGTCGTCAGCCTGGTAAGGCCCGTTCCTCCTCCACGCACCAAGCCAGGGGTGCGCGTCGTCAGTCCAGCACAACCCGTGCCTGGGTCACCGGTGCCTGGTAAGGTACCGGTCAACTGCTCCACTATGGAGCTGAAGCTAACCGCTCCTGCTAAGTCCAGTTCAGCTCCAGCCGGCGGGGCCAGACTGGACCAGGGGCGCTATGGGGGGTTTATTGGAGGGTGGTGGTCAAGGCCGGAGCCAGAACCGCCGCCGAGGAGGTATGCCCGCCCAGCCCTCCCCTGTTTTGTTCAGGTTGAGGCGCGGTCGCAGTCCGCGCCTTTAGGGGGGGGTACTGTCACACCCTGGCTCTGGGACTCTATATGTTGAGCCAGGGTGTTTTCATTCTATGTGTTTATTTCTATGTTGGTAATTCTGTTGTGTTTATTTCTATGTTGGCTAGAGTGACTCCCAATCAGAGGCAACGAGTGTCAGCTGTCGTTGGTTGTCTCTGATTGGGAGCCATATTTAAACTGTCGGTTTTCCCTTTGTGTTTGTGGGTTCTTGTTCCGTGTTCGGTCATTGTTACCGTGGACTTCACGAGTCGTTTCTTGTTTTGTTGATTGTGTTCAATTATCACTAAAGATAATAAAGTTAAACATGTTCGTTCATCACGCTGCGCCTTGGTCTGTTCAATACGACGATCGTGACAGGGAATCCATGATCTAGGTTCTGAATTCATGGAGGGAGAAGGAGAACTATCCACAGACTGGGGGGAGGAGAGACACAGAGACTTCACAGAGAGCTACAGCTACTGTGCTGTAACATAATCACAATCAGTAGGCCTATGTACAGGTACATGTGACTAACTGTAGAGAGAAGTGGGGTTCAGGTTGTAGAAAAATCTACCCAGACACAGGACATGATGTAGCGCCTGTGTGTGTGTGTGTGTGTGTGTGTGTGTGTGTGTGAGAGAGAGAGAGAGAGAGAGAGAGAGAGAGAGAGAGAGAGAGAGAGAGAGAGAGAGAGAGAGAGAGAGAGAGAGAGAGAGAGAGAGAGAGAGAGAGAGAGAGAAAAAAAAACGGTGTTATTGAAAATCTCCCCTACAGCTTTCAAAAAAGACTCCAGCATTTCCAAGATAGGTTTTATCCTCTCACACTCCATAAAACAGTGAAAAATAGTTTCTCTTATATTACAAAAAGGACATCCATCTCCAACATATGAGTTAATAAAAGATACAAAAGCATTAACTGCAATGATGCCATGCAAAACCCCCCATTGCATATCACCAGTACCCTTTTGTAACAGAGGCTTGTACACTGCTTTCCATGCTGGCTTTACCTTGTCATCAATGCCCAATTTTACCCTCCATGGAGTGTCTTTTCTATTTTTCAATGTATCTTTATTCAACACCTTGACACACCCCCTATATAAGTCTTTCCCATTCACCTCATCCAAACCCACCTCTTCCAACCCTCTCAAATCCAGTAATAATGCCTTTCTTTCTGACTGTGATATTGGGTGTAATCCCTAGTCTTGGAAATGAGACGTTTTCATCTTGTACCTTCTTCTTGTGGCTCTTAAGAATACCCCACTCTTCTGCTGACAGAGCCTTCCTGCAGCTTCCCAGCAGATGTCCGACAATCCTTTCCGACCTCACCCCCAAATGTTCAGCCACCCGTCTTCCATCCATTAAGGTGGGCCCAGCCATGGCCATTAACTGTTTTAAGGTGATGATTTTGCCCTTCACAAGAATCTTGGAGAAATGTGGAACAGCTGCAGTTGTACAATCCAGTCTTGCCCCGTACACCAGAGGTTCCTCCAACAGCCAATGCACTGACTCCGCTAAAATGCGTCTGGACACCTTCATTATGCTCCACTCCCTAAGAAGGCCTCTGTAAAACAGAGGTACTCCCTCCCTAGAAATCTGGCTACTATCAACCAAAAATAAAGCCTTCTTTAAACCTAATCCCCCAACCTGCTGTAATACAAGACCTGCCACCCCTCTCCAAACCAAATTCTCCGGTCCATAAAGCAACCTTTGAATAAACTGAAACCAGAAAGCAGCAGCCCTACTAGCAAGATGTACAAGACCTTGTCCCCCCTCCTCTTTTGACAAATACAAAACACTTTGTGGAACCCAATGATATTTATCCCAAAATAAATCTACAATAATCGCCTGTATCTTAGCCAGAAGGCCAGATGGTGGCTCTAAAACTGACAACCGATGCCACAGTGCAGAGGCAATCACATTGTTAACTATAATAGTGCGCCCCCTATATGATATACGAGATAACAACCAACACCATCTCCTCATCCTCCCTTCCACCATTTCATCACCCCTGGCAAAGACATGATCCCTCCAGACCATTCTCCAATCTGTAAAGCACAACTTTTTTCCCAATTTATCTTTGCAGAGGATATTCCCCTAAAACGATCAACCATTAGACTCAAACTGTCCACCTCCGCTTGATTTTTCACTAAAATAACTACATCATCAGCATAGGCTGAGAGACGAATAGGAAGAATATCCTCTGAAAGGTACACCCCTTCAATGCGACTTATAATGCTATTTAGTAGTGGCCTCTATAGCAATGGCATATAACATTCCCGACAAAGAACATCCCTGCCAAATACCTCTACACACTTTAAAAGGAGCACTCAAACCACCGTTAACTTTCAATACACTTTCAATGTCACCATATATCATCCTTATCATAGCAATAAAACCAGAGCTGAAACCAAACGCCTCAAAAGTGTGCCATAAGTATTTATGTTCAACTCGGTCAAATGCCTTTTCCTGATCAATTGAAATTAGACCAGCATCCAACCCAATAGCCCTAGAGACGTCCAAAAAATCCTGAATCAGACAAATGTTATCCCCTATCTGCCTGCCGGGAACACAGTAGGACTGGTCCGTACAGTGGGGAAAAAAATGTATTTAGTCAGCCACCAATTGTGCAAGTTCTCCCACTTAAAAAGATGAGAGAGGCCTGTAATTTTCAAATTTTCAAAACAGACAAATTGAGAAAGAAAAATCCAGAAAATCACATTGTAGGATTTTTAATGAATTTATTTGCAAATTATGGTGGAAAATAAGTATTTGGTCACCTACAAAGAAGCAAGATTTCTGGCTCTCACAGACCTGTAACTTCGTCTTTAAGAGGCTCCTCTGTCCTCCACTCGTTACCTGTATTAATGGCACCTGTTTGAACTTGTTATCAGTATAAAAGACACTTGTCCACAACCTCAAACAGTCACACTCCAAACTCCACTATGGCCAAGACCAAAGAGCTGTCAAAGGACACCAGAAACAAAATTGTAGACCTGCACCAGGCTGGGAAGACTGAATCTGCAATAGGTAAGCAGCTTGGTTTGAAGAAATCAACTGTGGGAGCAATTATTAGGAAATGGAAGACATACAAGACCACTGATAATCTCCCTCGATCTGGGGCTCCACGCAAGATCTCACCCCGTGGGGTCAAAATGATCACAAGAACGGTGAGCAGAAATCCCAGAACCACACGGGGGGACCTAGTGAATGACCTGCAGAGAGCTGGGACCAAAGTAACAAAGCCTACCATCAGTAACACACTACGCCGCCAGGGACTCAAATCCTGCAGTGCCAGACGTGTCCCCCTGCTTAAGCCAGTACATGTCCAGGCCCGTCTGAAGTTTGCTAGAGTGCATTTGGATGATCCAGAAGAGGATTGGGAGAATGTCATATGGTCAGATGAAACCAAAATATAACTTTTTGGTAAAAACTGAACTCGTCGTGTTTGGAGGACAAAGAATGCTGAGTTGCATCCAAAGAACACCATACCTACTGTGAAGCATGGGGGTGGAAACATCATGCTTTGGGGCTGTTTTTCTGCAAAGGGACCAGGACGACTGATCCGTGTAAAGGAAAGAATGAATGGGGCCATGTATCGTGAGATTTTGAGTGAAAACCTCCTTCCATCAGCAAGGGCATTGAAGATGAAACGTGGCTGGGTCTTTCAGCATGACAATGATCCCAAACACACCGCCCGGGTAACGAAGGAGTGGCTTCGTAAGAAGCATTTCAAGGTCCTGGAGTGGCCTTGCCAGTGTCCAGATCTCAATCCCATAGAAAATCTTTGGAGGGAGTTGAAAGTCCGTATTGCCCAGCGACAGCCCCAAAACATCACTGCTCTGGAGGAGATCTGCATGGAGGAATGGGCCAAAATACCAGCAACAGTGTGTGAAAACCTTGTGAAGACTTACAGAAAACGTTTGACCTGTGTCATTGCCAACAAAGGGTATATAACAAAGTATTGAGAAACTTTTGTTATTGACTAAATACATATTTTCCACCATAATTTGCAAATAAATTCATGAAAAATCCTACAATGTGATTTTCTGGAATTTTTTTACTCATTTTGTCTGTCATAGTTGACGTGTACCTATGATGAATATTACAGGCCTCTCTCATCTTTTTAAGTGGGAGAACTTGCACAATTGGTGGCTGACTAAATACTTTTTTCCTCCACTGTATGTATGATTTGCCCCATCACCTCCCTCAGCCTGTTGGACAAAGCCTTTGACAGGATCTTATAATCAGTGCACAATAAAGCCACCGGCCTCCAGTTCTTCACCTCCCTAGGGTCACCCTTTTTGGGCCGTAGGGTGAGGACAGCCCTTCTGCAGCTTATCGGTAGTAACCCTCCGGTCAAACTATCATTAACTACTGCTAGCCAATCCTCTCCGAAAAAAGTCAACGGGAAGCCTATCAATGCCTGGTGCCCTTTCATTTTCCATGCCTTTTAATGCAGTGTATAGCTCCTGCAGAGACAATGGTTGCTCTAGCTCAACCTGAGCTTCTGCAGCCACCTGTGGGAGCCCATCAAGGAACTGCTGTGTCACTGTTTTATCCTCTTTGTACTCACACTTGTAGAGCTCAGCATAGAACTCTACTGCCCTCTTTCTAATTTCACTAGGGCTAGTGAGCTCCAGTCCAACAGCTGATTTGAGACAATTAATAATACTTCTTTGTCCATTCTTTTTCTCTAAACCAAAGAAAAATTTGGATGAGGCATCCATTTCAGAGATTCCCTGAAACTTACTTCTCACCAATGCCCCCTGTGCTCTGATACCCAGAAGGTCTGCCAATGCCACTGTTTTCCTCTTGAGGGCCTGAGTATGGCCTCGATCTCCTGTGGTCTCAACCAACGTCAGGAGTTCCACTATTTCAGACTCTAGGGCTTTCATTGATCTGGTGATGTCTTTGGTGACATTCCTTGTGTATTGATTACAGAATTGTTGAATCTGGATTTTCCCTATATCCCACCACTGTTGAAGGGATACAAAACTGGCCTTTTGAGACCTCCACCTCTCCCAGAAAAAACTAAAACATTTCCTGAAGTGAGCATCACTCAATAAAGTTATATTAAAATGCCAGTATGCACTTTTGGTTTTTACAGCGTTAATGAACACCACCTCTGTTATTAAACAATGATCATAAAATTCCACTGGGGTTATCACACTTGATTTATAGACCTGAGATTGATGCTCAAAACAATAAAACCTATCTAACCTGGCCATAGAGATGGTGTTCTCTCTCACATGGGCCCAGGTGTACTGTCTCGTGCCTCCACGTTGACTCCGCCAAATATCACACAGTTCATGTGTTACAATGAGGTTCTTTGTGATTTCTATCTAAATCACTGACTGTGCAGTTAAAATCTCCAGCAATAAATAAATAATCTTCAGTATTACATTTCTCAATGGTATTTGATAATGTCTCTAAAAAACATACCCTCTCAACTGCCACCACTGGGGCATATACATTTATCAGACACATAGTGATGTTTTCATACCGCGCTCTAACTTTTAATAACCTCCCCTCAACTACCTCTTCAACCTCATATGACAAAGGCAAAAACCCTTTTGAGAACAAGATGGCCACACCCCCACTTTTTATTAAATATTATTATTAATATGCCATTTAGCAGATGTTTTTATCCAAAGCGACTTACAGTCATGTGTGCATTCATTTTTACGTATGGGTGGTCCCGGGGATCGAACCCACTACCCTGGCGTTACAAGCGCCATGCTCTACCAATTGAGCTACAGAGGACCACACACCACTTATGACTACACACCACTGTCCCCTCTCCCCCCCCCCCCCCCCCCCCACTCCTGTTGCCACATAACTTCATTTTCCAAATTACTATGCGTTTCTTGTAGAAAACTTATGTCACTTCCCTTTCCCCTAATTAACTCATACACTATGGCTATTTTTTAAACGTCTCTCGCCCCATTTACGTTTAAAGAAGAAGTCTTAAAACTGCTCATGTTTTTTTTTTTTTATACAGAGGAAGACACAGAAACCACATCTCTTTACAGAGTTAAGGCTGCGACTGAACTCTTAATTTTCTTTAGAATTTACATCACTTATCACTCTCGTGACCACTTTCTTGAGTCTAGCAATTTCAGGGCTTGTCAAACCTCCCCCTGTTATTTTTGACATCAGAAACTTTGCTGATTCAATAAACAATTCACTTTCAGGAAAACAATCTGTTACATTATAATCCTGCATATATTTCTTCCCTTTTGTCAACTTCAGAAATTGACGTACCTTCTCAATCCCATACGTCCCTTCCACCCCATTTATCTTGCTATTTTGTTGTGACACGTCAGATGACTCACTCTCGCTATCCTCCCCAGAAGAAAACTCCACTATCTCTACAACCTGTTTATCCTCAACTGATTTATCAATCTCTACCTTCCTCTTAGAATTAGACCCTTCACCACCCCTTAAATTCTTCCTCTTACTCCTCTGTACTTTGAAAACAGCTGCTTCCTTTTCCATTACTTCAATCTCCAATTTCATTTTCCAGCACCACCTCAGTGACTGCAGTTGCAATCTCACTGACTGTTTCCCCTCCCTCTTTGTTCTGATCTACCACAATTGCCTCCATAGCCACACTGCCTTCCTTTCCTACTTTTCCAACCACATCTGCCCACCTTCTCCCTTCCCCTGCACCCTTAGAATGTTCATCCCTTCGCGGTGGTGCATTAGCTGCACCAGCACCGGAGCTGCTACCGGGCTCTGTGCGCTCGTTCTTGGGACAATAACGTACCAAATGCCCCTCTCTTCCACAGCCAAAGCATTTCATTGATTCAGTAGAAGTGTAGAAGACATAATCAAATCCATCAATCTTAAAACTGAATGCTAAATTCAGTTCGTCAGTGTCCTTCTTTAAAATCATATGCACTTGTCTCCTATGAGACACAACATATTTCAGCAAAGGAGATTTGCATCCAAAAATAACCTTCTTTATTGTAGATACAAGTTGACCATGACGAGATAACTCTCGCTCCAACACTTCATCTCTAACAAATAGTGGTACGTTAGAAAGTATAACTTTCATCGCCGGATTCATAAGAGGAAATACCAACGTCTGTGTCTCCCACAACACAACACCACTCTCAACTATCGTATTCACCTTTTCAATGGAATCTAAGAATATCACTACAGCGCTATTCATCCTTGAGGCTGATTTTATGCTATCATACCCAATGATAGCACCCACTGCTAAGCTACATTCTTCCACTGAACACCCGGCCGCAGCAGGAATCTTTACTGCATGCCGCCGACTAAGTTTTTCAAACTCCAAACCTCCGTGAGTGACAATTGCAACCAGCCCGACCCGCTGGTTGTGCCTCGAGAAAAACAACCTCAACGATCCCCCACCCCTATACGTGCTTACTGATAGTTAGGCAAGATAACCTTACAACAACTAAACTAATCAATATACAGTGAGGGGAAAAAAGTATTTGATCCCCTGCTGATTTTGTATGTTTGCCCACTGACAAAGAAATGATCAGTCTATAATTTTAATGGTAGGTTTATTTGAACAGTGAGAGACAGAATAACAACAACAAAAATCCAGAAAAACGCATGTCAAAAATGTTATACATTTTAATGATTTTAATGAGGGAAATAAGTATTTGACCCCTCTGCAAAACATGACATAGTACCCTTGTTGGCAATCACAGAGGTCAGACGTTTCTTGTAGTTGGCCACCAGGTTTGCACACATCTCAGGAGGGATTTTGTCTCACTCCTCTTTGCAGATCTTCTCCAAGTCATTAAGGTTTCGAGGCTGACGTTTGGCAACTCGAACCTTCAGCTCCCTCCACAGATTTTCTATGGGATTAAGGTCTGGAGACTGGCTAGGCCACTCCAGGACCTTAATGTGTTTCTTCTTGAACCACTGCTTTGTTGCCTTGACCGTGTGTTTTGGGTCATTGTCATGCTGGAATACCCATCCACGACCCATTTTCAATGCCCTGGCTGAGGGAAGGAGGTTCTCACCCAAGATTTGACGGTACATGGCCCCGTCCATCGTCCCTTTGATGCGGTGAAGTTGTCCTGTCCCCTTAGCAGAAAAAAACCCCCAAAGCATAATGTTTCCACCTCCATGTTTGACGGTGGGGATGGTGTTCTTGGCGTCATAGGCAGAATTCCTCCTCCTCCAAACACGGCGAGTTGAGTTGATGCCAAAGAGCTCCATTTTGGTCTCATCTGACCACACCACTTTCACCCAGTTCTCCTCTGAATCATTCAGATGTTCATTGGCAAACTTCAGATGGGCATGCATATGTGCTTTCTTGAGCAGGGGGACCTTGCGGGCGCTGCAGGATTTCAGTCCTTCACGGTGTAGTGTGTTACCAATTGTTTTCTTGGTGACTATGGTCCCAGCTGCCTTGAGATCATTGACAAGATCCTCCCGTGTAGTTCTAGGCTGATTCCTCACCGTTCTCATGATCATTGCAACTCCACGAGGTGAGATCTTACATGGAGCCCCAGGCCGAGGGAGATTGACAGTTATTTTGTGTTTCTTCCATTTGCGAATAATCGCACCAACTGTTGTAACCTTCTCACCAAGCTGCTTGGCAATGGTCTTGTAGCCCATTCCAGCCTTGTGTAGGTTTACAATCTTGTCCCTGACATCCTTGGAGAGCTCTATGGTCTTGGCCATGGTGGAGAGTTTGGAATCTGATTGATTGATTGCTTCTGTGGACAGGTGTCTTTTATACAGGTAACACGCTGAGATTAGGAGCACTCCCTTTAAGAGTGTGCTCCTAATCTCAGCACGTTACCTGTATAAAAGACACCTGGGTGCCAGAAATCTTTCTGATTGAGAGGGGGTCAAATACTTATTTCCCTCATTAAAATGCAAATCAATTTATAACATTTTAGACATGCATTTTTCTGGATTTATTTGTTGTTATTCTGTCTCTCACTGTTCAAATAAACCTACCATTAAAATTATAGACTGGTCATTTCTTTGTCAGTGGGATAACGTACAAAATCAGCAGGGGATCAAATACTTTTTTCCCTCACTGTATATATATACACACCGAAACCCAATAGAGTGTAAATAATTCCAGTCGCTCTCACAATCACTCCTGCTTCACGATTCACTCACAGCATGCACTCCGATGAGAGATAGAGAGATTAGGGTTGGAGGGAAAGCCTGCAGGAGTCTAGCTCTCCAGGACAAGGGTTGGGAATCATATATAAATATATAGAATATATACTGTATATATACAGTACCAGTCAAAAGTTTGGACACACCTACTCATTCAAGGGTTTGTCTTTATTTTTACTATTTTCTACATTGTAGAATAATAGTGAAGTCATAAAAAACTATCAAATAACACATATGTAATCATGTAGTAACCCAAAAAGTGTAACCCTAAGTAGCCACCCTTTGCCTTGATGACAGCTTTGCACACTCTTGGCATTCTCTCAACCAGCTTCACCTGGAATGCTTTTCCAACAGCCTTGAAGGAGTTCCCACATATGCTGAGCACTTGTTGGCTACTTTTCCTTCACACTGCCGTCCGACTCATCCCAAACCATCTCAATTGGGTTGAGGTCGGGGGATTGTGGAGGCCAGGTCATCTGATGCAGCACTCCATCACTCTCCTTCTTGGTAAAATAGCCCTTACACAGCCTGGAGGTGTGTTGGGTCATTGTCCTGTTGAAAAACAAATTATAGTCCCACTAAGCCCAAACCAGATGGGATGTTGTATCGCTGCAGAATGCTGCGGTAGCCATGCTGGTTAAGTCACAGAGTGTCACCAGCAAATCACCCCCACACCATAACACCTCCTCCTCCATGCTTTACGGTGGGAACTACACATGCAGAGATAATCCGTTCACCCACACCGCGTCTCACAAAGATACGGTGGTTGGAACCAAAAATCTCAAATTTGGACTCCAGACCAAAGGTCAAATTGTCACTGGTCTAATGTCCATTGCTCGTGTTTCTTGGCCCAAGCAGGTCTCTTCTTCTTATTGGTGTCCTTTAGTAGTGGTTTCTTTGCAGCAATTCGACCATGAAGGCCTGATTCACACAGTCCCCTCAGAACAGTTGATGTGGAGATGTGTCTCCTCTTTCTATTCTGGTTAGAGACGGTTTGCGCTGTTCTGTGAAGGGAGTAGTACACAGCGTTGTACGAGATCTTCAGTTTCTTGGCAATTTCTCGCATGGAATAGCCTTCATTTCGCAGAACAAGAATAGACTGACGAGTTTCAGAAGAAAGTTATTTGTTTCTGGCCATTTTGAGCCTGTACTCGAGCCCACAGTTGCTGATGCTCCAGAAACTCAACTAGTCTCAAGAATGCCAGTTTTATTGCTTCTTTAATCAGCACAACAGTTTTCAGCTGTGCTAACATAATTGCAAAAGGGTTTCCTAATGATCAATTAGCCTTTTAAAATGATCAACTTGGATTAGCAAACACAACGTGCCATTGGAACACAGGACTGATGCTTGCTGATAATTGGCCTCTGTATTCCTATGTAGATCAGCCGTTTCCAGCTACAATAGCCATTTACAACATTAACAATGTCTACACTGTATTTCTGATCAATTTGATGTTATTTTAATGGACAAAAAAAATGCTTTTCTTTCAAAAACAAGGACATTTCTAAGTGACCCCAAACTATATATATAAGAGAGAGAGAGAGAGAGAGAGAGAGAGAGAGAGAGAGAGAGAGAGAGAGAGAGAGAGAGAGAGAGAGAGAGAGAGAGAGAGAGAGAGAAAGCTGAAAGGTGGTGTTTGGGTGGTAGAGAATAAAGTTCTACCCAGACACACAACATGATGGAGCCCCAGCCAGTGTGTTTACACATTAATAATTCAAATAATTATTTTAATATCAACAACTGGGAGGCTTGGCTGCGCATGCACACACATACACACAGTAAATACGGTATATTACAATTTTTTGATTTCTGAAAAAGTATTCCAAGGGCACTCACCTTGGGTGGCTATGAAGTGGTTTGATCGCTGGTACCCCTGTGAAAGAAAGAGATGTTGAGGAAGGAAGAAAGAAAGAGAGAGAAAGAAAGAGAGAGAGTTGAACATCAGAGTAGCACAGTTTAAACACCTGTCCCTAGAGTCACTATACAGAACCACCACCATCCCCCTCCCTCAGTCTCCTCTCCTCTCTTATTTCTGATGTGGTATTGAATGACACCGTACAGTATATGTAGTGGAGCTTGCATTGTATTCATCGTCTACCTAGATATAATACCAAGTGGTTTTCATATTATAATGTTTTCATATTGTAAAGGTTGGACTGTTGGATAACAGGTAGTTAAGGAGATTTCTCTAGAGCGGCCATAATTATCTAGAGAGAGGGACCGTCATTTTCTCAATGGGCAGCTTCCTCCTACCAATTAACTTTTTTCTTTGTTCAGGCAGCATTTTGCCATTAACTGTTCAGGTATAGAGCAATAATAAAGTACAAAAGGTTCCTTCAAAAGGGAAATTATAATGCTTTCATTTCAGCCGATTGACACTGACTGATCTGCCATTGTCTGTTCTCCTGGGGGATACATAACTGCTGCTATGATCAATCCTGGACACTGTCAGATGGGATTGCTAGTCATGGTCTGTGTGTGTCCATCCTCCAGCCCTGAGCATGGTCCCCTTATCACTGTGTGTGTGTGTGTGTGTGTGTGTGTGTGCGAGTGCGTGTGCGTGTGTGAGAGCATGAGAGAGAGAGAGGAGAATGTAAAGCAAGACAAATCCTCCAGCCCTGGGCATGGTCCCCTCATCACTCTTGGCTGTAAGGGAATACACACACAAACACACACACACACACACACACACACCGCTCATTCCATTCCATAAGTGCCATGCCACACAGAGAGGAGGGGAGATGAATGACCGTTGCCATGCTAGAGTGCAGTGACCCCCATTCCCATCCTTCCCATGATCCTCTCTGCTTCACTGTGTGTGTGTGCTTCCTGTCTGTCTGTCACCTAGGCAACCACCACCCTCTGCCTACAGCGAGCAGACAGCATCACATCAAGCAGTGTGAAATTCAAAATGGATGAAAAATAACTGAATTAAAAAAATTAAATACAAATAAAAATTCTCTCATGCTCTCCACCACACTTACACCATGACAAAACCCATCACATCACAATGTCGTAACATGATGGGATGGAAAGCAAGTTGCCACAAGATGGAAAGCCAAGAAGAAATCCAAGATGAAGTTGGCAATCTCTCCCTTTACATGTTCTCTTCTTCCACAGCAAGTTGGACCCCTTCAAACCAATCTAGTTTGACCTAGATAGATAGCCCACTATGTGGTTGAAGATTAGCCAAAACACTATTTTAAAATATATGTGTGAGAAACATCCAACAGAATGTGATACAGGGGCAGAAAACAGGTTGAAAACAGTCTTACATGTTATGTTCAGGGTCTGGCCGTGCAGAGTGTTGCCTGTGAACATGCTCTAGTAGCCCTTCGCTGTGTCTGATCTGAGCTGAGCGTGTATGTATCTTTCCTGGCTTTGGCCCTGCATGCTTTCTCTGCATGGGGTCTCTACTGCCTTCAGGGCATATCTGAGCTTTAGCCAAGAGTAAGGAACTATATAGGGAATAGACTGAGACCTTTGAGGCCAAAAGTAGCGCACTGTAATGGTAATCGGGTTCCATTTAGGATGCAATCTTAGACTGTGCTCCTCCCATTGGTTCCTTTGTACCATTTCTGATGGAGGATAGTTGTAATATGTAATTTAAAGCTCTAACTGTCTATTGGGACAGACTTGCCTGCAATAAGACACGCTTTGTGTCATCTCTGCTGTGACGGGGGACAGACAAACCTAATACAAATCCCTTACTCTAAGTGAGTCTAGTCTGGCTGCAGATGGTGTAGCGGAGCAGGTTTGGCTAAATTAAACTCTGGGGAGCAGCTGGTGCCTGGGGCTGGGGGGGCTCAGAGACGGAGAGATTAGAAAGTGGTGGAGCGATGGAAAGGTGGAAGGAATAAGGGGGTACGCAGAGGGCACAAGGTGAGCGGGAGGATTGATGGAAAAGAAAGAGAAGAGAAGAGAAGCAGTAGTACTTACTTCCCTGTTTATCCGGATCTAAGAGGTCCCAAAGGTTGAGAAAAGAGGGAAGGAGAAAGAGAGAAATAAGAAGGGAGCAAGGACAAATAAGCTAATTATTGAGATGAAAGAACAGGGGGATAGGAGAGAACTCAGAGGTGAGAGAGAGAGAGAGAGAGAGAGAGAGAGAGAGAGAGAGAGAGAGAGAGAGAGAGAGAGAGAGAGAGAGAGAGAGAGAGAGAGAGAGAGAGAGAGAGAGAGAGAGAGAGAGAGAGAGAGAGAGAAAGAAAAGAGAGAGAAGGAGAAAGAGAGGTTGTTTCACGCTACCTGTGGAGAAACAGAATGTGTATACCCTCACGCCTCACAAACTGTTGCATTGGCAAAGAGGTAGAAACCAATGTTTTTTTCTTCAACTTCCTGTTGTTGTTGTGGTCATGGAACACTAAGTGAACAAAACATGCTACACATTTACTACGACGCAACACTCCTCCTATCTAGTCAAACCCAAGCGCCACCATCCATGAAAACAGTTAGGTTAACCCAAATCAGAGCGAGAGAAGGTGCTGCTTTTCCATTTAACCTTTCTGAAGAACGACGGAACGGCACTGGACCCTTAATTCCACCCCTCATCTTCACCCCTCCATTCCTCTCTTTCTCCTACTCACATTCATAATTTAGGCGCCTGGGGGTGGGTTAGCTGAGGGAAGGCTAGTCAGGGGTCCTGTAGACAGCCCTAACAATGACGCAGGTGTCCTCGCAGGGTCCATATACTAATTAACCTTTCAAGTAAAACTAGAGGAGGGTGAACAGAGCATGGAACCGGAGGGTGAACAGAGCATGGAACCAGAGGGCTCACAAACGGCAAGAGGGGATGAACGGGCGGAACACTCTCCATGAGCTCCAACACAAACACATTCTCCTTCACCTCCACCTCAACCTGCTGAGTCAGCGCTCATTTTACCTTTTATTTTCTGTCCATTTTAGCATTTATTTTCTTTCCATTTTACCATTTTATTTTCTGCCCATTTTACTTTTTCTTACATTCTCAATTTATTTGTCTTGCATACTTTCACTTACATCTTCTTTTGTTAAACAAAACAATGGTGAAACAATCAATCATTGAGCAAGGGAGACGAATGCAGTTGAATGCTGTACGCTCTTTCCTGCTCTCATTGGGCACTTCACTGAATGGGCTGTGTTCAACAAAGATAAATAATTGCTAAAATAGGTTTTTGTGAACGTCACCTTTACGTGACCTGTACTTCGTGTGTATTCAGCAACGCCTCCGCATACACACACACACACACTCACACTCACACACACTCACACTCACTGCTTGGCCCTAGCTCAAGCACACAAAGTGGATATCCCTACAACACTAGCTACAGTACTAGCTGTACAGCTTTGACACAGCAATGGGAGAGAAAGTGTCTGGGATGAGGTTTGAACTGCTACTGGGCTTGGCTAAGGCTTCCTGGATGAGACTCACTGGAGCTGAAGAGTTGAGATCACAACTAACTGAACGCCAGATGAACAGGATCAGGCATTTGATATCATCAGACAGACAGAGTGAGACGCCACTCGGAGTCGACTTAAGAGAGGCCGTCGCAGAGGACACAGACACTCCTAGCTTATAGGATCTTAAAGGATCTTAAAGGATCTTATAGGATATGTGGTGTTGCTGAGACGATGCCTATCTCAAATCTATTCCGGTACCCCCAGGGATACAGAGACAGGACAATGGCAGATTGAGAGTACAATCCTCTTTAAGTGGATATCTTCACTGTCACAGTGTACTGGCCAGCCAAAGGAGGCAAGCCCGAGTGGCACAGTGGTCTAAGGCACTGCATCTCAGTGCTTGAGGCGTCACTACAGACCCCCGGTTCGATTCCAGGCTGTATCACAACCGGCCGTGGTTGGGAGTCCCATAGGGCGGCGCACAATTGGCACAGCGTCGTCCGGCCGTCATTGTAAATAAGAATTTCTTCTTAACTGACTTGCCTAGTTAAATAAAGGTTAAATAAAAATAAAAGCCCAGAGAGGGCTGTTGGGACAGTCTACCTGTACACACACAGTACGGTGGGAGTCTCTCACTTCTCCTGCACTGGGCCATACACACAACTCCCCCAGGGAGAGACAGGACAATACTATGATCAGATTCTAGATGTCACATCCTCACACACTTTTGACTGGAGTCCCTATAGACTGTAACAGTGGGCTAAACATCCTTAGATACTGTAGACCACAGGAGGTTGGTGGCACCTTAATTGGGGAGGATGGGCTCATGGTAGTGGCTGGAGTGGAATAAATGGAATGGTATCAAATACATTAAAAACATGGTTTCCATGTGTTTGATGCCTTTCCATTCGCGCCGTTCCAGCCATTATTATGAGCCATTCTCCCCTCAGCAGCCTCCACTGTTGTAGACTAGCCTGCCAGCTGTGGCCAGCCTACAAACTGCTGCTGGGATAGACTACATTGCCCAAGAGTCTCCTTCTTGTGTCAAGCATACATACAGTTACTGGGAGAGACTACATTACCCAAGAGTCTCTCCTTCCTGTGGCCAGTCTACAGACAGCTGCTGGGAGAGATTATATTACCCAAGAGTCTATCCTCCTACAGCACTTCTCTAGCACTGGGCCAGACACACAGCTCTGACGGGAGGGATCGCAAATTAAAGTAACACTCAACAATACAAAGTTAGCATTAGAATATCAGGCAGTCTTCCGCGTGAGGCTAGAGACTAATCTCTGCAGCAGTTGTTGTCACACAGCTATCACATTGCAATAGAGTAAAGCCAACTCCCATGCACATGCTCAGATGCTATGTGGATGCTCACAAGTGCAGCCTCTGATCGTACGGCTGAGTCTTAGTTTAAGGAGCAACTGTGGGCAGAGACAGTAAAGATTGAGGAGGAGGAGCGGGGGGGGCAGAGAGAGCGAGAGAGAGAGAGAGAGAGAGAGAGAGAGAGAGAGAGAGAGAGAGAGAGAGAGAGAGAAAGGGCGAGACAGAGGGAAAAAGAGCGGGTAACTTACGTCTATGTAAAGAGAAGAGGGAGAGAGCAAGAGCAGGAGAGAGGGATAATTGAGCAGGAGAGATGGAGAGAGAGAGAGAGAGAGAGAGGGTAACTTACGTCTATGTAGTTGGCATTGCCATAGTCAGAGTTGGGGTCTGCTAGGAGGGAGTGTAGCTTGACTCGATGATGATCATCTACAGCGGAGAGATCATCAACAAGAGAGAGGGACTTTAATGTCAGCTTTATTTAACCAGGAAGTCTTTTGAAATGTATAATCTCTTTTAATGTGAAACTAACAAAGATTTTCAACAAAACAAAGCTTTTTTAAAGTAGTGGTCGTCAATAGCAACTGACTTGAGGACATGTTATAATTGGTACATTAATTTTAACAAAGTTAAGTTACAGTAGCTTTCCTGCAAATGTTCTTCCATATATGGCATACCACTCCATTCCAGAACGAGGTTCTAAACAGAACTTACGCCCCAGCAAACTGTCATGTCTCCCTTTAGTCTTGTCCTTCTTCTTGGTGACATCCCATCCATCAAAGAAGCTCTGAGAAGAGAAGGAACAAGTGGTCACCATGACAGTGAGATATTGTTAGCATACAGGTGATATTCTGTCATCAGCAGATTTCAACAGCACATTGAAATACTTAGCTTGGTTTCCAAAGTGTTAGATATCTCTAGGACACAAGGAATATACTGTATGTGTCATCAGATTCAAATCTCCTTTTAGTTTTACTACCAAAACTCTACTTAGTTTTACTACTTAGCTTAGTTACCCAACTTAGACTGTTACCCTAAGTAACTTTGCCATCATATTCACCGCTTGTATTTCTGTTAGTCATGACACATCTCTGAGAGAATGGTGAGGAGAAGAAGAGGCTATGAGGGATGGATCTGGCCTTGAGGGGGAGAGGAGAGGAGAGAAGGGGAGGAAGAGGAAAGGAGAGAGGAGAGGAGGCCGGGAAGGAAGAGGAGGGCGTCCAAGAATTAAGAGGAGGAAAAGAGGAGAGGATGAGGAGAGGAAGACAAGGGGAGGAGAGGAGGGGACAGGAAGAGAAGGGGAGAAGAGGAGGAGGGGACAAAAGGTGGTAGATAGGCGAGCTTGAGTCTCTCTCATTACCTATGCATCGAGAGTGGGTCTGCCTGCAATCCAAGTGCTTTATAATGTAGCACTTTAACTTGGTGTTAAAGTGCTACATTTGTGACAGATGTTTATGGCACCATTTACACAATCTGCCAGCACGATACGAGCTATTGAATTTAAATCAACGTTATGAGAGAGAGAGAGTGAGAGAGAGAGAGAGAGAGAGAGAGAGAGAGAGAGAGAGAGAGAGAGAGAGAGAGAGAGAGAGTAGAGAAAGAATGAATGACTGAGTGAGTGTGACAGACGTGTTTGCGAAGAAACACGGTGGCGTTGGCGGCGGTAGCGTCCAAGTCATGTCACGTTCATGGCATTCGCAGCATACCAATGCTAAGTCCGACTTATATCCTGGCTGCGTTGTCATGCACATCCAGGCACTCCAACCCCAGCTCACTAAGTCCCTCATCAGCGCCCGCCCAATCCCAGCATGGGATCAGCGTGGGGAGGCCGGTCCACCTACAGCCCAGGGACAGGGGCAGCATGCTGATCAGAGGATTACACCTGCGCCTCACTCCTACACAGGTAATACTATACCTAATCCTGCTTAGAGAAGACATGATCCATCTCTCTCTCCTTCTCTCTCATTCTCTCTATCCTTCTCCCACCAACACACTCTTTAGAGCAGAGCCTGACTAACACTAAACAAATCCATAGACAGACTTTCTTTAGCACGGCACTATCATACATCAGGGTCTCAGCTATCAATGTTCTTTATTTCCACTGAAGCCACGCACAACTCCAACACCATCATCAAGTTTGCTGATGACACGACAATGGTAGACCTGATCACCGGCGACGATGAGACAGCCTACAGGGAGATCAGTGACCTGGCAGTGTAGTTCCAGGACAACATCTTCTCCCTCAACGTCAGTAAGACCAAGTAGCTGATTGTGGACTACAGCAAATGGGGGGTCGAGAGCTTCAAGTTCATCGGGGTCCAAATCACTACAAATCACTTAAAATGGTCCACACACAAGCGCACAGTTGGTCCCGTGTAGCTCAGTTGGTAGAGGTAACTGTAAGTCGCTCTGGATAAGAGCGTCTGCTAAATGACTAAAATGTAAATGTAAAGGCTGGTTTGCTCATTGTTTGTAGTCCCGTGTAGCTCAGTTGGTAGAGCATGGTGTTTGCAACGCCATGGTTGTGGGTTCGTTTCCCACGGGGGACCAGTATGAAAAGAAAAAAATGTATGCACTCACTAACTGTAAGTCGCTCTGGATAAGAGCGTCTGCTAAATGACTAAAATGTTGTGAAGAAGGCGTGACAGCATCTCTTCCCCGTCAGGATGTTGAACAAGTTTGGCATGGGCCCTCAAATGCTCAAAAAGTTATACAGCTACACCATTTAGAACATCTTGACTGGCTGCATCACTGCTTGGTATGGCAACAGCACCGCCCTTGATCACATGGTGCTACGGAGGGTGGTGCGGACAGTCCAGTACATCACTGGGGCCGAGCTCCCTGCCATCCAGGACCTTTATATCAGGGGGTGTGAAAGGAAGGCCCGGAGAATCGTTAAAGACTCCAGCCACCCAAGCCATAGACTCTCTGCTTCCGCGCGGTACCGGTGCATCAAGTCGGACACGAACATGCTCCTGAACAGTTTCTATCCTCAAGCCATAAGACAAAATGGCTACACGGACTATCTGAGTTGACCCTTGTACATTTTTGCACTTCCTCTATGCACACACATAGGACTCTACACACTCACGCACACTGACACTCCAGTACACACATAACATGCACACACATTTATACGGACTCTACCCACACTCACATATAATCTTCATTTATGCTGCTGCTACTCTGTTTATCATACATCCTGGTGCCTAGTCACCTTACCCCTATACACCATAATTTGCAAATAAATTCATTAAAAATCCTACAATGTGATGTTCTGGAAAAAATAATCTAATTTTGTCTGTCATAGTTGACGTGTACCTATGATGAAAATTACAGGCCTCTCTCATCTTTTTAAGTGGGAGAACTTGCACAATTGGTGGCTGACTAAATACTTTTTTTCCCCACTGTACATATCTACCTCTATCACTCCAGTATCCATGCACATTGTATGTTGCTTCTTACTTTCTCGTGTTGTTCTTATTTCTTATTTTTGTTTCTTGTGTGTTTTTGTTCTACCGTATGTTATTTAATAGTACTAAATTGATATTGATTACTGCATTGTTGGGTTTAGAGCTTGCAAGAAAGGCATTTCACTGTACTTGACATTAAAACTTGAACATATACCCAGCAGGCATAGCTGGTTGAAATGACTTCAACTGGTTGTAATCCAATGATGTATATAAATCATTGTTGTAATCTGGTTTGTAATGACATCCTTTCAACCAGTTTTGCCTGCTGGGTAGAAGCCCTGAAGATAGTCAAGAGGATTGGATCTAACCTGACAGTCTAACCAGTTGGTTGTAATCTGGTTATGGCTATCTGACTTCAGCCTCGTTCTATCTGAGCCAGTCCAGAAACCCTGTAGAGCCAGTCCAGAAACCCTGTAGTGCCATTTAAAAGCTCCAACAGTACTTTGCGGCATGCCTGATCAATGGCCGCCTCGGCAGCCCAGTGGGAAATAAGGGTTATGAAGTCCTACAGCCAGTCTCACACTGATACACACACCACACACACACACATCCCAGTCTCACACTGATCTCTCCTTCATCTTATTTCTCCAGGCGACAGACTGGGGAGCGATGGAGGGAGCGAGACGGGAGGAGCGGAAAAGCGATGGAGGAGTGAAAAAGCGACCACGGTATTGATTTTAGGAGGGGGAATTTGTTGGGCCCTTCGGGGGTGGGATTAATGAATCGAAAAGCGCATCTGGAATCCTGGAAGTTTGGATTCGGGGACAAATACAAGCTAAATGCTACCGGGCGAATAGAGGGACTTTGTAGTAAATCACAAATAGAATGAAAAAAAGTTACTTGAAAGCCATTTAATTAATATACTCTTGGTAGAAACAGAAAAAGATCTGAAAGAGAGTTGAGCAGAATAAAATAGCTTTACATTGAGAGATGGTATAAAACAGCTACTGGAGGTTTTCATTGACTGCTGCTTATTAAAATAAGCTTCCAGCAGCAGCCTACTGAACACATAAGCCATTGGACTCAGAGATGAGAAACTGTATTAAAATGCCTTCTGCCTCCAAAATTGCATCATTAAATCCCAAAGGATGCTACGCCCACATTCCATTTTCAGTTCTCTCTCTCTCTCTCTCTCTCTCTCTCTCTCTCTCTCTCTCTCTCTCTCTCTCTCTCTCTCTCCATCTCACCTCATACTCCTGTTTGAAACCGTATCCCTCTCCAGTCTTCATCTGGTTGATGTGTTGGAGGAGGTCTGCCACCCTGACCGCGGGGTGAAGTTGACCCGTGTGGTACGGAGAGCTCTTCCTACGGCAGTGCCGTCGTGGGGAACCACCCAACAGGCTGCTGGACTCGTTCACTGAACTCCTCTGTTCATCTAGAGGAGACACACACACATGCATGAGCACACACACACACACACAAAGATACACACACACACATGTTAACCATTACACAATATCACATATGTTATATAAGTGCCAGTATTAGTGGCTAAATGTTATTTTATTAAAGCGCGTGGCTCAGTGAGGGGACTGAAGGTCAACCTCCACCTGCTCAACACAACACCCACTCAACTGACACTCTGCTCAGTCTGCCAGGCAGATCAAGGAAGAGCCGGTATCACTATGAAGACATATTGTATGTACGTGTTGACGGGCACGGTGGAATATTTTAATTGAAAGAGGTCGTTAGAGAAGAGAGAGAGAGAGAAGAAGAATAGTTTATATTGATGAAAGCAAGCTGAAGGACTGAGAGAAACAGATGGATATTCACAGAGAAGTAAACAGAAAGACTGAGAAACTGAAGGTACTTTATCTTAGCAGTGTGTGTATACAGGGAAGGCGGGAAGCTGAAAGGGGAAATATAAAGACTAGTCTCTCTCAGGCCGTGTCATCTCTGTAGCTCGAGATCGAGGAGAGAGAATCGAAGAGAGAGAGACGCGAAGGGAAGTTCTCGAGAGAGAGAGAGATAGAGAGAGGAAGAGAGAAGAGAGCTAGAGGATCGCTATATATCTCTGAGCGATAGAGCATATCTCTCTTCCTCTCCTCTCTAGTCTCTGTGTAGGAGGTACAGGGTTAACCTACAGATTAGTGTACTCTTTGCTGTACTCTCTGTCTCTCTTAGGGCTCAGGGTGTTCTTGGTTCTTACTCCGTGTGTTGCAGGTGTGGGCGTCCATGAAGGAGTTAGCGGTGTGCCCGTCCTGCTGCAGGGTGCTCTGCTCTGTCATGCTGCAGTCCAGAGAACCTAGCTTCCTGGTCTTCTCCTGACGGTACGACATGGCTGCCTTGTTCAGCGCTACCTTCTTCCTGCTGCACAGAGCAAAGAGAGGAGATGTGAAGAGGAGAGGGAATATAAAAAGGAGGGAAGAATAAGAGAGAGATTGAAATAAGGAAATAGCAAGAGGGGGGTTGAGGTCAAGGAGTTGAGAAATTGGAAGAAAGGGGAAAAATAAGAGATTGTATCGAGGAGAGGGAGATAAAGGAATATTTGTTGTGATAGTAGCAGGCCGAGAGAGAGAGAGAGAGAGAGAGAGAGAGAGAGAGAGAGAGAGAGAGAGAGAGAGAGAGAGAGAGAGAGAGAGAGAGCGAGAGAGAGAGCGAGAGAGAATATAGACAGGAGAGGTATATAGAGGATGAGGTGGAGGAGATGCTTATCTCCTATAAGTGTCAACTTCCAGGACTACAGAGGGCAAGCAGGTGAAGATTGTGCCATAATGAAAAGATGGAGGGAGAGACTAGGGAGGAGTCACTTACGGGTAGTAAGAGTAAGAATAGAAGTACCTTCTGATTAGCATGGAGAAAGGAGGAGAAGAAAGGAGGAGATAGAGAGAAGAGAAAGAAAACTAAGAGAGGTGAGAGGTGGGGCGATGGTTAGTGAGGTGGCCTCCAGCAAGGCAAAATAAAAATGTCCATTATTAAATGTTGAAAGCTACAGGTAAATAATGAAAACACTTGAGTAAATGAGGGATACAAAGTATATTGAAAGCAGGTGCCTCCACACAGGTGTGGTTCCTGAGTTAATTAACCAATTAACATCCCATCATGCTTAGGGTCAAGTATAAAAATGTTGGGCATGCCATTATTTTGGCTACTATGGCTATGCCCCATAGGATGACAATGCCCCCATCCACAGGGCACGAGTGGTCACTGAATGGTTTGATGAGCAGGAAAACTATGTAAACCATATGCCATGACTGTCTCTGTCACCAGATCTCAACCCAATTGAACACTTGTCGGAGATTCTGGAGCGGCGCCTGAGACCGTGTTTTCCACAACCATCAACAAAACACCAAATTATGGAATTTATTGTGGAAGAATGGTGTTGCATCCCTCCAAAATAGTTCCAGACACTTGTAGAATCGATGCCAAGTTGCATTGAAGCTGTTCTGGCTCGTGGTGACCCAACGCCCTATTAAGACACTTTATGTTCCTTTTGGCAGTTACCTGTATGTTTATGGAGGCAAGTCAAGCGACCATGCAGCAGCAGATAAATTATAGTACAACTGTGACATTGACTGGGTTCCTAGCTAAATAGATCACTTACATGAATAATCTGCCAGGGAGCACAGGTACACATACAGTTATCAACCAAGGTACAGTTAGCTCAACGTTCTACTGGTGGTTGGTTAGCTGGTTGCCATTGTGTTTACATAATTAACAATTTCTGTCTCTATCACGCTTCTCCCTGTGACGTCCAACCCTGCTTCTCTGACAGGTATCCCTTCATCATGAGAAAACCTGAGGTGGTAATTCTATCCGAAAGGCAACAACAACCTTCCTCTCCAATGAATGGCTCAGCCACAGGCACCAAGTTCACGGAGCACTGCACACCAACCCAGATGCTGCTATTATATCTGCTTTGACTTGAAAGGGCAATGGAATATCATGGCCCTTGATGAATATTACACACTGAGTGTTATTCTCCCAATTTAACGGCAGAGGAGAAGAGGAAAGGGTGAGAGAAGAGCAATAAAGGATGAGAGACGAGGACAGGAGGAGAGTACAGTACTGCCAAGCAGTATTTCCTGGTGGAACTTGGCCAATGACGCTGGAGTGTATATTGGAGTTTCTGGGCTATGTGTGTGCAGCCAATAGACAACAGAGCTTGAAATTAGAAAATTAGTTCTACGCAAAAAGCTTGGCATCTATAACTGCACAGCATCCCACAAATAATACCCAGCCATGTGTGTAGTTCTGGAAGTAATATACTCTCCATTACCTACCTAACTCCCTATTGAATTGAGTTGGACTAAGCCTGCCAAGATGTGATGGAGAAATGCCTTCCCTAATAGGACATAGTTAGTCACATAGGCAGCTAAGAGACAGCCAAAGATAGGCCCCTTTCTGGACCCCCTCAACGATCACAATCACCTTTACACACACACACACACACACACACACACACGCACACACGACCCTCCACTCACCCCTTCTTGATGATGATGACAATGGCCCCCAGCAGCAGAATGAGGACCACCAGTCCCCCAGCACAGGCCCCCAGGATCAGACCCAT